TAAATAGTAAAATTTATAAATTAATGTTTTTCAAAAATTCAATTATTTTCAACAAAATCTTAATAAAATTTCATGAATTTTGGAAGACTTGCAGTTTAAATTTCCATAAAAAAATTTTCCAATGGTTTTATATTGAAAGTATTTCGTAATTTTGAGCCAATAAAGAACAATTAGTATTTAAATATTTATTTTACAAAAATGATTGAAATTTGAAAGATTTAATTTAGGAATTCTGAAAAAATTAGGTTCTTGAAAAATAGTAATTAAAATTTTTTGAAGATATTCTTTAATTCCCGAAAATAATTTTAAAAAATTGAAACAATTGGAAATTTTGTAAAATTTTATATTTTAAAGAATTTCATTTTTTCATCTTTAAACATTTTCTATTTTAATATAATTGTATTTTTGAAAATACATTATTTTATGAATTTACAAAAATTATTCTATTTAAATAAATTTGAATTCTGATAGGAATTGAATTATAAAAATTAGATTTAAAAATTTTAGAAAATAATTGAATATTTAAGGCGTTGAAACAGAAATTTTAGGAATTAATTAAATTCAAAAAAATTTTTTTTTAAATAAATTCTTTGAAAATTTAAGGGAAGGAAAAGTATAAAAATATTTCAATTTTTATTTTTCTAAATTATTAATTACATTTTTTTCTTTAAAAGTTCTTAAAGTTTTTCAATAATTTTATTCAAAAATTCTAAAAAAAATTATTGAATTTTTCGAAGAATTACAGTTGCAATTTTTAGAAATAATTCAATTTCATGAGGTTTCTCATTAAAATAATTTGAAATTTTAATTCCTGTGGAAAAATAAATAAGAATAATTTTTAAAATTGTTATATAACAAAAAGTACTAAAGTTTTGAATAATTTAATTCAGAAATTACGAAAAATTGTTTCTTGAAAAAAAAATGTATGTACAAATTAAATTTTTTTTAAAAATAATTGTATTTTCGAAAATAATTTTAGAAAATTGAAACAATTGGAAATTTTGTCAAATTTCATTGAAATAAATTTTATATTTTAATGAATTTCATTTGTTTACTTTACAAAATTATTTTGAAATATAATTGTATTTTTTAAGAATTCTAATTAAAAATTTGGAAAATAATTGAATTTAAAAAAAATTTTAAATTTTAAAATTAAAATTTAAAATTTAAAATAAACTTCATACCAGGATAGTTCAATTATTTAATCAAAAATATCTTACATTCAAGTTGCTGTTTGAAATATCTTGGCGATTTCTATACGAATTGTTCGAATAATTAAATTTAAAGAAAAACTGTTGGAAAAATTATATTTTTTAAATTAAATGAAGAATTTTCATTAAATTTCAAAAAGCAAATTTTTTAAGTAACTGAACTGAAGGACAAATGTTTAATTTCTAATTTAAATTGTTTTTCAGTGGATTTAGTAAATTTTTGAAAATATTTAAATAGAAAAAAATTATTTTTTCATTTGAATGTCCAGAATATTAGAAAAATTTCCAATTTTAGTTAATTTATTTATTTAAAAATTTCCACGAATAGATGTTTATTTAATAAGATCAAATTCCTAGAATTAAAAGTCCTTCAACGAATTTTATGTAATAATGAAAAAAAAATGTTTACAGTTGCAAGCATTTATTATAATAGAAGATGATATTATGGACCGTTCGATATCTCGTCGAGGACAACCGTGCTGGTATCTTCAGGACGATATTGGACTTGCAGCCATTAAACATGGATTTTTAGTAGAGCAAATGATTTATCGTCTACTAAAAATGCATTTCAGAGAAAAACCTTGCTATCCTGATCTCGTTGATATATTTCACAATGTAATTATCCTCTCCGAAATGTACTATTATTTATTGTTTTAATAATTATGTTTAATTATTAATAATTTAATAATTGTTTTAATAATTAATATATAGTCAATAACCGAAATAAAATATTTATAGACTATCTACAAGACTACAGCTGGTGAATATTTAGACTTGTTTTGGGCGAATTTTGGAAAGAAACCAAACCTGAATCTTTTTACGATGGACCGATATAATACTATGATAAAATATAAGACATCTTATTGCTCATTTATTTTGCCGACAACTGTAGCTAAGAATTTCGTAAGTTTTACTCCATTTTTCCTCTTTTCTACAAAATCAGAATTTATTTATTTCGATTAAAAAAAAATAAAGTCATAAAAAAATTTTCTTTCTTATAGGCTGGAATTAAAGATAATGATGAGTTCAGACAAGTCGATAAATTACTCATTGAAATTGGTAATTTTTTTCAAAATCAGAACGATTTTTTGGATTGTTTTGGAAATCCGGAAGAAACGGGAAAAATTGGAACCGACATTCAAGAAGGAAAATGCACCTGGCTGAGTACTACTGCCTTGCAACTAGTCAATTCACAGCAAAGAAAAATTTTAGAGGTAATACTTGACGAAGAAAAGAAGTAGAAGGAAAATATATATAAAAAAAGTAGAAAAAATATAGGAAATATAAAAAAATTACAAAAGAAATACAGAAAAAATAATTAATATAGAAAAGAAATAGAGAGAGAAAATATAGAAGAGAAAATAGAAAAAGTGTTAAACAAAAATTTTTCTCTACAATTTAAAATAAAAGTATATTTTTTATTTTAGGAATGTTATGGAGAAAATGATTCTAAAAAAGTAGCAAGAGTGAAGAAATTATATAATGAATTGGACTTGATAACCGTTTACAACGATTATCAAAACGAGAATTACAAACGCCTCAAAACGAATATTCAACAAAAATCCCCGAAAATATTACAGGATTTTCTTCTTACAATATTGAATAGAGAATATCGTAGGAATCGATAAAACTAACATCAATTTATATTTCCAGTCTTACAATTGAATTGAATTAAATTTTTTTACAATCAAATCAATTGCAAAGTTTAGACATTATAATTATTATTTATTTACTATTTATAACTTTTTTGATTTAACAATTTGCTAATATTTGAACATTTTTTTCAAAAAATTCAATTATTTTCAAAAATTTTCCTCATTTTAATAATTTTTAATATTTCTACTATAATTTTAATAAAACTACCCAAAAGAAATCAATTAATTAAATAAAAAATTCTAATAAAATTGTACGCAAACATTTAATTATTTACATAAATAATAAAAATTCCATAGGAATTAAATGTATTTACAAATTTTTTTATAAGTTTCTTCTCAATAATTCAATTATTTTCATAAATAATAAAACTCATCGCAGAATAAAATTATTTTCGTAAAATATATATCATTCTTCTTAGGAATACAATTATTGTCAAAAATGTTTGTAAAAATCTTCGAAACAGTTCAATTATTTTTGTAGAAAATAAAATTCTTCGAGACAATTGAATTATTTAAGAAATTTTAATAAAATTCTCCCTAAACATTTAATTCTTTTTAAAAATAAAATTCTTCACAGGAATTCAATTCTTTAAAAAAAATTTAATAAAATTCGTTGCATGATTTCAATTATTTTCATAAATAACAAAACTTATCGCTGTATTTCAATTATTTAAAATGATTGGAATAAAATTCTTCACATGAAATTAATTATTTTCACAAATGAAATTCTTCACAGGAATTCAATTATTTTCACAAATAAAATTCTTCGCAGGAATTCAATTCTTTAAAAAAAATTTTAATAAAATTCGTTGCATGATTTCAATTATTTTCGTAAATAACAAAACTTATCGTAGAATTTCAATTATTTTTTACACAATTTTAAATAAAATGATAGAAAATTGGATTTATTCTTAAAATTTTTTTTTTTTAATTCGCCCGAAAGAATTCAATGATTTTTAAAAATTTTGATAAAATTCTCCGTAAAAATCCAATTTTAAGAAATATTCAATTATTTAATAAATTATTTATTTTTGTATTTAAATAATAATTGAATTCTCAAAAAATTTTCTAATAAAAATTGATTTCAAAATGAATGTTAATTAAAATTTTAGATGATAATTGAATATTAAAATAATTTTCAAGAAGTTAAAGTAACAATATTTTTATAATGTAAAATAATTATTTTATCTCTCAAACATCTTTGATTATTATAAAAAATGAAGAAATCGATCACTCCGTGTCTTCGACTCAGAGCAATCAATATATTCATGTTTTATAACAATATATTTTTTAAGTTGTTTAATTTCAAAAAGGTTTGAATTTGAATGTTTTGAAGAATTTTAATTCCTACGAAAAAATAATAATTAAATATTTATTTAGAAAAGAAGTTATTGATGTTTTTGAATAATTTTACAATTAAAGTAATTCGTAAATAAATGTAACAGAACATTTTTTTTTTTTTGAGTAAAATTTGTTCCTTTATTTTCTAAAAATTGAAAAATTTTAATTTTGAATTAAAATTTGTAATTGATAAATAGAATTGATAAAAATTTTGTTCCTTTATTTTTAAAAAACTTTGAATTTTATTTAAACAATTGTAACTAAGAAATAGAAATAATATAAATTATTTCCTTATGAAAATTGAAACAAAAATAAATTCTACAAAAATATTAAGAAACGGGAATATGTAATGTTTTTTTTCCCAAATAAAAGAATGAGTTTGTCAACAATATTGTTATTGAGAAATAAAAAAAAGTCCATGATAAACCTCTACAGCAAAAGGTCTATTCAGACAAATATTTAAACTTCTTTGAATAATTTTTTTATGTTGGGATTTTTAAAAATTTAAATATTCTTCAGCAAAAAATATTCATAAAAAATCTTCGAAAATATTTTATAATTTTCATTTTACAATAGTAAATAGAGTATATCGTCGAAATAAACAAAATTACAATATTTTTTTTTTTGTAGAAATAAAATCATTTTGTCCAATAAAAAATACCCGGAAAAATTAGTGAAGAAAAAAAAATGATTCTTAATAATTCAATTCGTTTCGTAGTGCATGGACCTTGCAAAAAATAGATGCATAAAATAATATATGTACATATATTTGAAATAATAAAAAAATTTTACAACTTGGCTATTAAATTATCTTATCATAATTTCAGAATTTTCTCTCTTCAAAAACAAATTGTAATTTTTAACAGATAGTTGTCAAAGTGCTACTGAACTTATCTCTCATATATAGTTTACTAAGCAACATATTAAAATGCTGCATATAAGAATGAGGAAGTCTATGATGACTCTTTGCCACAAACGGTAAATTTATTAAAATAATTTAATACTCAAACAATTAATCAAATAATTATTGAAAACAATTTTCGATTTTTAAGTGATTCTTAACGGATTTTGTAAAATAAATCTGCTGACAATTTTTTCCGACTGTGCCTTTTCAGACTCTTCAGTATTCGCGTCTTACACAATGCGCCTCAAAAAAATATAATTACGAATAAAGATGAAAGACAAGAATTAATGGCTCTATGGCCAAATGTTGTCAAAGATCTAACAAAGTTCGATGGTGATTTAAATATTCCTGAAGTAACCACAAGATTTTCTAAGGTTTACTCTCTTCATTTTTGTCTAAATATTTTCTATCAGTATAGAAAATATTCTACTTCAGGTTTTGTCACAAAAATTTAATTTTGTTTTTCCCTGATTTTCAGACAAAATTTTCACCTTTTCCCTGATCCTGAAGAATATTCTAATTCACTCCAAAAAATGTTCTATTACATTTATTTATAAATTACTTCAAAAGTAAAATTATTCGAAGACTCTTTTCAAAGTTCAATTATTTCTAAAAATTCACGCTATAATGATTTTAATATTCAATTATAATTTAAAATTTTTAAGTGAAATTCATTTTTTAATCAATTTTTATTAGAAACTTTTTTGAGAAATCAATTATTATTTAAATACAAAAATAAATAATTTATTAAACAATTGAATACATATTTCTTAAAATTGATTTTGTATGCAAAATTTTATTAAAATTTTTAAAAATAATTGAATTCTTTCGGGCGAATTAAAAAAAAAAATTTAAGAATAAATGAAATTTTCTATCATTTTATTTAAAATTGTATAAAAAATAATTTAAATTCTGCGATAAGTTTTGTTATTTATGAAAATAATTGAAATCATGCAACGAATTTTATTAAAATTTTTTTTAAAGAATTGAATTCCTGTGAAGAATTTTATTTGTGAAAATAATTGAATTCCTGTGAAGAATTTTATTTGTGAAATAATTAATTTCTTGTGAAGAATTTTATTCAAATTTTTTTAAATAATTGAAATTCTGCGATAAATTTTGTTATATATGAAAATAATTGAAATCATGCAACGAATTTTATGAAAAATTTTTTAAAGAATTGAATTCCTGTGAAGAATTTAATTTGTGAAATAATTAATTTCTTGTAAAGAATTTTATTCAAATTTTTTTAAATAATTAAATTTCTCAGAATTTTTTAAAACTTTTTGAAAATAATTAAATTCCACCGAGAAATTACATTAAACAATTAAAAAAAAATTGAAATCTGACAAAGAATTTTATTAAATTTTTTTCAAATAATTGAATTCCTGTAAAAAATTTTATTTTTGAAAAGAATTGAATTTTTGGGAAGAATTTTATTAAAATTTCTTAAATAATTCAATTGTTTCGAAGAATTTTATTTACTACAAAAATAAATGAACTGTTTCGAAGATTTTTACAAACATTTTTGGCAATAATTGTATTCCTTGGAAGAATGATATATATTTTACGAAAATAATTATTCTAAAAATTCTAAAAATTGTTAAATTTATAATACATTTTATCAAAATTTTTAAAAATAATTGAATTCTCGAGAAAAATTTTATTATTTTCAAATTTTTTTTAAATAATTGAATTCCCATAAAAAAGTGTATTTATTTGTGTAAATAATTGAATTCTTAAGAAGAATAGTATGGAAAATATTTGAATTGTATAGGAAAATTTTTATTAAAATAGCAATTTTATTAACTAAATCTTGTAAAGAATTTTTTCAAAATTTTTTTTAAATAATAGAATTTTTAAAAGAATTTGATTTAAATTTTTCGAAATAATTGAATTTCTCAGAATTATTTTTTTCAATTCTCTAAATATATTTAAATTCTTTCGAGAAAATGCATTAAAAAATTTAAAATAATTAAATTAGTGCGAAAAAATTTGTAAAAAATTGGCAAGTAATTGAATTTTTGTGAAATTTTTATTAAAATTTTGTTTAAATAATTGAATTCTTTGGTAAAATTTTATTAAAATAAGTAGATATTAAAAATAATTGAAATGTGAAAAATTTTTGAAAATAATTGAAATTTTTCCAAGGATTTTATTAAATTTTTTTTGAAAATAATTGAATTTTGGAGAAGAATTTTATTATTTATAAAGATAATTGAAATTTTTACGAGAATTTTTTTAAAATTTTTGTACATAATTGAATTTTTTTCATATAGTTTATAAGGCAAACAAAAAAAAACTGAAATTAAGAATTTTCTTATAAATTCTAAACATATAATTTTTTCCAGTACTTTTATTAAAAATCCCTGACTTTTCCCTGAATTCCTTGACCTGTGGCAACCCTGTAACTTATTTGCGATTAACAATTATTTTTGTAATAAAGATGGAATATTTTTTTCAGTTATTGCAATATAATATTCCAAATGGTAAAATGGGTCGTGGAATAAGTCTTATTAATGCATACAAAGAACTTGTCCCCGTTGAACAATTAACTGACGAAAATATTCGATTGGCACGAATTTTAGGATGGTGCTGTGAAATAGTATGTACATTTACAAAATAATTTGACAATTATATATATAATAATAATAATAATAATAATAATATCCAGTTACGAAATAGGTAAGTGAATTAAATACAAAATGACGAAATTTGAGAAATAGACAAAAGATGCAAATATTATAGAAAATATAAAATGTATAGAAGTCAGGAAAATTAATCGAAATCCAAACAATTCTTTCGCAATGAGGAAGCAAAATATAAATTACTAGAAAATAAATTTCTGTTTTAAAACAGATGCATGGATATACATTGTTAGAGGACGATATTATGGATCGCTCATTAACCAGAAGAGGACAACCCTGTTGGTATCTTCAGGACAATGTTGGACTTTCAGCCATAAATGATGGACAATTATTAGAACAAATGATCTTTAAACTACTTCATATGCATTTCAGAGAAAAATCATACTATCTGGATCTTCTTGAAACATTTCACAAAGTAATTAAAAGTCTACATATAATTATTCACATCTATTCCAATATAATCATGAACTCTTCTAATCAGAATTCAAATTAAATTGTAAATAATAATCAAAGCAAAAACTTTTTAGATTATTTATAAGATCCTAATTGGTCAAAGCTTAGATCTATTGTCGACGAATTGTGGAAAAAAACGCAATTTTAATTTTTTTACAATGGACCACTATAACACTATAGTAAAATACAAGAGTGGTTACAGTACATTTCTACCTTCGGTAATGTTAGCCATGAATGTCGTAAGTTTCGTAATCTGTCTAAAAAATAAAATATTAATTTATTCGTTTCACAAAAATAGAAAATTTATTTATTCGTTTCACAAAAATGTAAATTATTTCGCTTCGTTCGACAAAAGTAAATAAGTAAATAATAAATAAATAAAGTAATTAAAATTGCAATAGAAAGAAAAAAAATTACAATTAAAAGTTAATTTTTCAAACTTTCAGGCTGAAATCAAAGACGATGAAATGTTTAGAGAGGCGAAAAATGTACTTTGTGAAATAGGTATTTTTTATCAAGTCCAAGATGACTATTTAGATTGTTATGGAGATCAGGATATAACAGGAAAAGTTGGAACTGATATTCAAGAAGGAAAATGTAACTGGTTAATTGTTTCAGCATTGGAAAGAGTCACTCCGGAGCAACGAAAAATTTTAGAAGTAAAATATTTAAATTTTCATTTCTACATTTATAACTTAAAAAGTAAGAACTTTTTAAGTTATAAATTCTAAAAGTATTTAAATTTTAAATTGAAATATTAAATAGCAAACAAAATTTTAAAAAAAGAATTTTTTTAAATTTAAATATTTTTTACAACAAAAAATTTATAACTTAGTTTTTAAATATTAATTTCAAATTTTTGGAATAATTTTAAATTCATAATTAAAGATAATTTCGATTATTAACTAATTTAATAATTAATTATTATCGTTTACTATTTTCAAAAATTTTGAGAAAATTCTTCGAAACAATTGAAAACAATTCAACTAATTTCTAAAATATTAAATAAAAAATACTTTTAAAAAATTCAACTATTTACATAAATAATAAAATTCGTTGCAATAAGTCAATTATTGTTTATACAATTTTAATAAAATTCTACGGAAGAATTCAATTATTTTTATAAATAATAACATTCTTCGTATAGAAATTCAATTATTTTTAAAAAATGCTCATAACACTTTTCGCAGAAATTCAATTATTTCCAAAAAGTTTTGATAAAACACTTTATGAGAATTAAATTATTTTCCATACAATTTTAATTTGATTTCAGGAAAGAATTTGAATTATTTTTAAAGATTTTAATAATATTCTCCGCCGAAATTCAATTATTTTGAACTATTTTTTGAAATTTTTCATTTTTCAAGAAAAATTACATTTTGATCAATTTAAATCGAATTCTCTGTATTTTCGACAAAAAGTACAACTTATTATAAAGTTACAGAAAAAATTTGTTTAAATGACCGAGTTTGAGAAATAATTATTTTTTTATGCAAATCTTAAAAAAACTTGGTGGAAATCAAATCTAATCATATTTTGCCTTTCTTTTTTTAAATTCATATAAATATTAATATAAAATTAATATAAATATTCATACGAAAATTTAAACCGAATAAGTCGTATAGTTTTTCTTCCTAGAGCAAGAAAAGAAATTTTGCCAAAAAGCAAAACTAATAAATAGGGTTCCATATATAAATTAATAATTAATTAATGCACTTCATCTACAAGAACCCTAAAAATGGAAAATTTTGAAGAAACTATAAAAAAATATCCTTTCTAATTCCAGGAATGTTATGGAGAAAATGATGGAGAAAAATCAGCAAGAGTGAAGGAATTATATCATGAATTGAAATTGCAAACAATTTACAACGATTACGAAGAAAAAAAATATAATTTAATAATTAATCAAATAAAACAAAAATCCCCTCAACTATTACAAAATTTACTTTTAACAATATTGAATTCAATTTATCGTAGAAATAAATAAATTATAATTATATAATTATTATTATATTTGATTGATAATTATTCATTTCTTCACCAATTTTCACCATCAATTGGAGAAATAAATACTTTTCGACTTTGGTTCGAATTATATTAAAAATATTTTAAATTCTCCATTGTCGTGAGAAAAAATAATAATTCGTCTAATAATAGTCGTTACTCATTTTTGTAAATTTTCCCAGAAAAAACAAAATTTTGAAAACTAATAAATATTAAATTTTAATCTATTCAGAGACTTATTATAATATATTGATTCATAATCAAACATAATTAATTCGAATAAATTAATTTTGATTAATTACATATATATATTGCTATTTGATCTAATCATAAATAATGATTAGAATAAAAGGAAATATAATTTCAATACGAACAAAAAATGTAAAAAACATAAATTATGTATCTTTTGAAAGAATATTTATGCAATAAACCTTCTGTAGCAGAGGGACATCATGACCTTCTTCATTCTTATTATAATTTTAAAGTACTTTTGTCATAAAAGCAACTTCGACTTGACAAATATATTTAGTAGTTCTTTGGAATCTATCAGTTCGAGAGTACAATTTTTTTTCTCGTTTAAAAAAAAAATGAACGATAAGTACGATTATACTTGCAGATAATATGTTGTGTGCAATGTCAGCTCTAATTAGAAACCAAAAGAAAGTGTTGTATAATTATAAAACATTTTTCAGGTCAGTCAATATTCAAAAGGATTCTAATGCGCCTCAAATTACTTCGGTTATCAATAAAGATGAAAGTCGGGAATTAATGGCAATGTGGCCGGATGTAGTCAGAGATCTTACTAAAGACAGTCGTTTTGCAGATGCTCCTGATATCACCAAGTGGCTCGAAAAGGTATGTAACAAATACGAGAAATACCACAATATTATAATTACGAAAATAATTCCAGTTTTCTTAAAATTTCGAAAGTAATTTTAGTTGTTCTTAGAATTACGAAAGTAATTTTAGTTATTTTAGAATTACAAAAGTAATTTCAGTTATTTTAGAAATAAAAAAATAATTTCAGTTATTTTAAAAATAAAAAATTAATTTCCATCATTTTAGAAATAAAAAAATAATTTTAGTTATTTTACAATTTCTAAATAAGACAAAATTTCTTTTAATAAATAACATAATTTTCCAGAGAAATTCTAGTTGAATATAATTTCTAATTTAAATGGCATAAATTTTCTAGATGTTGCAATATAATGTTCCAAAGGGTAAGATGACTCGTGCTACAGATTTAGTTTATGCATATAAACAACTCGCTCCTCCTGATCAAGTAACCGATGGAAATATTCGTTTAGCACGAATTTTAGGATGGTGCAATGAAATGGTAACAATAAAAAAATTCTAATTTTGACAATGGAAATAAAATACTTTATGCATTATAAAGTACAGTAAAAAATAAAGGAAAAAAAAAAAATTTAATATAGCATCTAAAGTGTTACCTTATATTGAAATCTTTTTATTTATAGCTGCAAGCATTTTTCCTGATGGAGGATGATATTATGGATCATTCGAAAATTCGTCGAGGACAACCTTGTTGGTATCTTCACAACGATATCGGACTTGCAGCCGTTAATGATGGAATTTTAGTTGAGCAAATGATCTATCAACTTCTTCAAATTCATTTCCGAGAAAAATCTTGCTATCTCGATCTTGTTGATACATTTCACGAGGTAATTATCCGCTGAACTAAAAAAATTTTTTCAATTAATAGTTGATTTATTTAGTATTATAAAATAATTAATTAAAAAATTAATTATCAGAAATTTAATAGAACTTTTGTTTTTCGTTCTTAAAAATTCAAATTTTTAATAATTCAAAATTATTTACATTCTTATTTATTATTTACTTACTTATTCAGAGAATAAGTTTTTAAAAAAAATATTTTCACATGAAAAATTTAGAAATTATATTCTTTTCTTTTCTTGCTCTAGGAAAAAAACTATTCGACTCATTTGGTTTAAATTTTGTCTGAATATTTATATTAATTCTATATTTAATATTCATATGAATTTAAAAGAAGAAGGGCAAAATATGATAAGATTTGATAATCGCGGAGTAAACAATCGTACATTTTTCGAACATTATTAAGAGAAAAATACAGAGAATTCGATTTAAATTGTTCAAAATTTAATTTTACTTGCAAAATGAAAAATTTCAAAAAATAGTGGTCACCAAATTAATTAACTGATTAATTGATATTAATATTAATATCAATTAAAATTGAAAAATTACAAAAATTTTTCAAAATAATTGAATTTCGGCGAAGAATTTTATTAAAATCTTTAAAAATAATTCAAATTCTTTCGAGGAATTTAATCAAAATTATATGGAAATTAATTGAATTCTTTTAAAGAATTTAATGAAAATTTTTGAATATAATTAAATTCTAATAAATGAATTCTATATAAAATTTTTAAAATAATTCAATTCTATCAACAAATTTTATGAAAATTAAGTTTAAAATAATTGAATTACACTGAAAGAAATTTAATGAAAATGTCGGTGTAAATAATTAAATTCTTATAAATGAATTCTATAAAAAATTTCGAAAATAATTAAATTCTTTCGAGAAATTTTATTCAAATTGTATTGTAAATAATTGAATTCCTTCGAGGAATTTTATTATTTATGAAAATAATTGAATTCTTCCAAGAATTTTATTAAATGTTTTGAAAATAATTTAATCATCTCAAAGATGCTTATTAAAATTTTCGAAATTAATTAAATTGTCTGGAACTATTTTATTATAATTTTTAAAAATAATTGAATTTTTTCCAATAATTTTGTTAAAATTGTACAGAAAATAATTTAATTCCAGTGAAGGATTTTATTATTTATGAAAATAATTGAATTCTTGCAAAAAATTTTATTGTTAATAAAAATAATTTAATCCTTGCTAAAAATGTTATTATCTATGAAAATAATTGAATTCTTCCAAAGAATTTTACTATTTATGAAAATAGTGGAACTGTTTTTAGAAAAACATGAATAATAATAATAATAATAATAATAATAATAATAATAATAATAATAATAATAATAATAATAATAATAATAATAATAATAATAATAATAATTAGTTAAGAAGTGAATTATTTGGAATTTTGATTCTGAAATCATTCAAAAACTGAAATTGATATTTAAAAAAACAAAGATTTGAAATTTGCATAATTAAGAAACTCCTCGAGTATAATTATAGTAATTAATAGAAGTAAAATTTGTTTAGAATATCTATTTGACAGCAGTGGGACAATCATTGGATTTATTGTCAACGAATAATGGGAAGAAACCGAATTTAAATATTTTTACAATGGACCGATATAAGAGTATTATAAAATACAAAACTGCGTATTATACATGTGTTTTGCCAGTAGTATTAGCAATGCACCTCGTAAGTTTTTCCCATCTGAACAAAAAATTAGGAATTTTTTTTTTCTTAAATATTAATTCAAAACTAAATTTTCTACTTTACAGGCTGGAATTAAAGATAGTGAAAAGTTTAAACAAGCGACAAATATACTTTTGGAGATAGGAATATTCTTTCAAATTCAGGACGATTATTTAGATTCTTTCGGAGATTCAAGTGTCACGGGAAAAATTGGAACCGATGTTGAAGAAGGAAAATGTACCTGGTTAGTCGTTGTTGCCCTGGAACGAGTCACGCCGGCACAACGAAAAATTTTAGAGGTACTATTAATAATATTATTTTATCATAAATAAATAAAAAGAAAAACTTTAAAAACTAATTTTTAATATGAGGCTGAAGTCCGCAATGTTATTGAAAATGAAAAGGCAAAAATAATGCGAAGAATATATTTTATTTTTTAAGTAATTGCCCTTCAAGTATCAATTAATTTCTTCACCAGTGAAAATTTTTGAAAAATTGCACTTTAAAATTAGACATGAATTTAAATTGAAAAAGGTTCTGTTTCGATTTTTCCTTTTCAGAAAATGTTGTGAACTTCAAATTTTATCTAAAATTAAAATTTAATTTTGTAATTAAAGACCTTATTTTAAATTTAATTTAAAAAAAAAACCTTTTGAATTCTAGGAATGTTATGGCGAAAATGATTCGAAAAAAATCGCAAAAGTGAAAGATTTGTATAATGAATTGGGATTGCAAACAATTTACTCTGCTTATGAAGAAGAAAGTTATAATTTAATCAACACTCATATCAAACAAATGTCCTGCGGAATGCCTCGTGATTTATTTTTGACAATATTGCATAAATTTTATCGCAGAAATATGTAAAATCAACTTTCATGAATTTATTCATAAACGTTGATTCTAATTTTGTAAAAAAGAAATAGACCGAGGACTTATTCATATAAATGAAGTTTGGCAATATTACAAAATTTACTACCGTAAAATGACTATTTGAGCGAAAAAATTAAATAATAAATAAATTCGTTCAATTGTTTATAATTTATTTACCTTTCTATTGGAAGATTAGTACTTTTTCCTTAACCTTTTACGTTGTGTGGAATTCTTTTTCAAATTTGTTCGAATTCTCTTCCTTATAGTTTGCTTCAATTTTGGACGAAGGGTCTTCAAATTTTCACTGTGTTCTGATGGTTTCTTGAAAAATTCTTCACATTCTGAAATAGACGGTAATTTAAACAGTAAAATAATTTAATGATTAATCATTTTAAATTAATAACAAATAAAGTGAATAAAAAATAAAATAGATAAAAATAAAATCATTATTTTAAACAGTAAAATAATTTAATTATTAATTTTAAATCAATAACCTCATTAAAATCAACAGAAAGAAAATAGAAAATAGAATAGGAAATTTATTAATTTACCTTGAAATCGAGAATCGTCAATGATGAAAAAAAACCTATCAGTGCTACCAATGAAATTTGAAGATTCTATCTTTTCTGATTCAAATTTTCTTTCTGTTTTCTTTGAATCTTCAGTTACATCTTCATCATCAGAAGTGTCGTACTTGAAAGCCCTGCTTGAACTGAATCCAAATATTTTATTTTTTGAACTAGATTCACAAGATGTTTCAACTTTCTCGTTATCTGAAAAAAATATTAATTTTTTAGTCACTTTACGGTAGTAAATTTTTCATATTTTTAAATATTAAATTTAAGTTTTTAATTTTTACTCTAATGAGAAATTTTTGATAATATTTTTAATGAAAATTATTTCGTTTCTTTAAACGTTTAAAATTTGTGGATCATTAAAAAAGAATAATTAACGACGTTATTTATTAAATTAACTAATTTGTAATAAATAAATAAATAAATAAATAAACTAATAAAATGCACTATTTTGAAATTAATACCCGATTCTGGCGCTTCTTTTCCAAATGCTTGCAATAAACTAATTTTTTCCTCCTTTCCAAAAACTGATGTTAACAATTTCGAATCAGTAATCACATAAGAACGTTCTTTTGAAACTTCTGGCACTTCAGGTTTCTCGACAATTTCAATTTCTTTCTTTTTCTTCTTCTTGACTTTCTCTTTTTTCTCGGGTAAAATTTCATATTCCTGATGTTGTTCATCAGCGGGATCATATCTTATCATTCCTCCAATACTAAAAGCATTTTTTTATTTCACTTCAACTGAAGATATAACATATAATCATGTAAAAAAATATAAATATATATAAATCAAAATAGAATTTATTATTAAATTTAATTATTATTTTTATGAATTGTAAAATCCTCCACAAGAATTCAACTATTTTCATAAAAAAGAAAATTCTTCAAAGGAATTCAATTTTTTTATAAATAATAAAATGTTTCGGAGGAATTCAATTGTTTTCAATACAATTTAAATTCAATTATTTTCGACAATTATGATGAAATTCTTCGAAACAATTCAATTATTTTTATAAATTGTAAAATTCTTTGCAAGAATTCAATTATTTTTATGAATTGTAAAATTCTTGGCAAGAATTCAATTATTTTTGTAAATAATAAAATTCTTCTGAGAAATTCAATTATTTTCAATACAATTTTAATAAAATTTCTCTAACAGGTTCAATTATTTTTCAAAATTGTAATCAAATTTTTCTAAACAATTCAATTGTTCTCAAAAGTTTTTAAGAAAATTCTTTATAAAATTCAATTATATTTTAAAAATTTTTAATTAAAATTATTTTAAAAAATTTCATTATTTTTACAAAATTTAATGAAATTTTTCATAGAAATTTTAATTGAGCTCCCGCGGGCAATAACTCGATCTGCGCTTGAACTGAAAAATCCAAGCCAGTCAAGCCGTCAAAAAATGAAAAAAAATAAAAGTCGGAATTTTTAATTTTAAAACATACTACCGTATAGAACATAAAAATGCGCAACTTTTTTGTCTTTGAAATTTTTTTGTAGGACTTTTATTTTTAATAATAATGGAAAAAACTGAATTTTTTTTATTCTTCAATTTCAATGAATTTCAAAACATAAATCGACTTTTCTCAAACAAATCTGCATGAAATTAATTAAAAATTGATATACTTACGTATCAGGGTCTACTGAAGACGATAAAATGATTAAAACATTTTAAAAAATTAATTGTAAAATTATTTGTTAATGTAAATAAAGACCTGTCAGTAAATACGTTTTCTCAACTTTGAAGAGAAAAAGTATGCGGTGAACTTTCGAGTTGACAAAACTTCCAGTGAGACATTTGTTTATTAATGTGTCAAGAAGTTTTTTGGAAATTTTTATTTAAATCGAATGAAAAATAAACAAGATACATAATGTTAAAAAAAATATGCGTCGCGCGGCGTTTTGACATTTTGACGCGAAAGCTTTACGATAGGAGGAAATTATTGGTAACTATTGCTATTTTCTGTTGATTTATTTAAAAAATAATTTTATTATTAATATATCTGACTTTTTAAAATATATACATAACTTAAATTCTTTTGTTCTTAAAAATTTGTTAATACTGTTTGGTTTTTCAAACCAGATTAAAACATTAAATAATAAATAAAAGTGTTACATAGAGAAAACATACTCGATTCAAGTAAAAAAATAATTTTAATTGATTTTGTTTAATTTAAATTAGTTTGTAAGCTTAATCCTAATATATAGAAAATATCTACTGCTTTGATTCAAAAATAATATTTGTTTGAATAATTATGTTTAATTCAAATATATTTTTTGTTTTGGTTTAAACAAAAAATACCTACGTTTAAAAATTTTATGTTTGATTTAAACTTAAAAGTTGATTATAAATAATTTAAAATCAACCATAAATTAAATATATTATTTTTATAAATGAACCAAAAAATATGTTTGAATTAAACTTACATTTATTTGACTGTAAAGCAAAAATATTTTAAGTTTGATTTAAAAGAAATTTGATTGAATTAAATAAATTGTTTTCTCAGTGTATTCTTAATCTGATTGTTTTACTTTTTTGGTCGTTTTCTTGAAGCACCTTGCACACACTCTACTTCTAACATTATTTAAATTTTTTTTATTAATTTACAATTAATTTTCAATTTTAAAACACATGGACTATTAAAAAAACTTAACGACAGGAATAAAGTAAACTGTATTTTCTTCGAAAAAATACAAGGACCTGCTATGTTTAAATTAATGCACAGTATATAGTGCATCAAAACAATCTTAACCTTGGATTGAGTTAAAAGTTGGAAATAAGATTCAAAAAACGTAAAAAGCTGCCTATCATATATAAATGTATAGAATTGGTTTTATTTTAAATACAATACATGCATAAAATTATTTTTTAAATAAATCAACAGAAAGTAGCAATAGTTTCCAATAATTTCCTCCTATCGTAAAGCTTTCGCGTCAAAATGTCAAAACGCCGCGCGACGCATATTTTTTTAAACATTATGTATCTTGTTTATTTTTCATTCGATTTAAATAAAAATTTCCAAAAAACTTCTTGACATGTTAATAAACAAATGTCTCACTGGAAGTTTTGTCAACTCGAAAGTTCACCGCATACTTTTTCTCTTCAAAGTTGAGAAAACGTATTTACTGACAGGTCTTTATTTACATTAACAAATAATTTTACAATTAATTTTTTAAAATGTTTTAATCATTTTATCGTCTTCAGTAGACCCTGATACGTAAGTATATCAATTTTTAATTAATTTCATGCAGATTTGTTTGAGAAAAGTCGATTTATGTTTTGAAATTCATTGAAATTAAAGAATAAAAAAAATTCAGTTTTTTCCATTATTATTAAAAATAAAAGTCCTACAAAAAAATTTCAAAGACAAAAAAGTTGCGCATTTTTATGCTCTATACGGTAGTATGTTTTAAAATTAAAAATTCCGACTTTTATTTTTTTTCATTTTTTGACGGCTTGACTGGCTTGGATTTTTCAGTTCAAGCGCAGATCGAGTTATTGCCCGCGGGAGCTCAATTATTTACAAAATCTCTAATAAAATTATTTAAAAGAATTTAATTTTCTATGAATAATTTTAATATATGTAATTGAATAGGAAACTTATTTTAAATAAATAAAAATCTTGCCAAGAATTAAATTATTTTTAATACACTTTTAATTACATTTTCTCGAAAGAATCTAATTATTGAAAAAAATGTTGATAAAATTCTTCAAAACGAATACAATTATTTTCAAATGTTTTGATAAATAGTTTGCAACGTTTAAATGAACGATATTTCTTTACTTATTTTAATTTGCTTTTGTTTTGTATAAAGAAATTATTTTGTATATTACAGAAATTAATTCTTAACTAAGTAAATATTCAATTTTAACTATTTTTCTTTTTTAATATGAATATTTTTATGAATATGAAACTATTTTTCTTTTCTTATAGCAATTGTTAAAAAAATTTTCTTCATTTGAACGTTAAAAACTTTAGAAAAATTTATTTTTGATAAATTATAATTAATAATTAAATTAAAAAAAAATACAATATAAGTAATTGAATTAAAAAGAAAAATTAAAAGAAAATAAATTATAACTGACCTGTTTATTGTCAAATAAATAAAAAATGAAATAAGAATTGCAACATTTTTCGTACCTTTTTGCCTTTTTATCCTTTTCAGGACTCTTTTTAGCAGCTATTGGCTTTCCAAGAATACTTCCTAAAATTTCCAATTGCTTTGTTTTTTCATCGATATGTTCATCAATTTCCTCCTCTTCCTTCTGCTGATCATCCTCAATGTCTTCATCCTCCAAGAAACGCTCGTCCACAGCAAATCGTTCATCAGTTCCAATTGAGGATTGAAGTTTTGCCAACTTGATTTATTTGATAAACAACAGCAGCGAAAAAATTTAGTAGACAAAAATATAAAAATAGAGGCATTATAAATATTAAATTTTACCTTAGCTCTTGATTTGGATTTAAATTCACTGTCCTCTGGAAATACAAATTCCTCATCCTCTTCATCACTTTCTAGCAATAATTTTGGTTTTTTCGGCGCTTCAATTTCTCCCTCCTCATCGAATCTTAATCTTTTGCTTTTGGAAACAGTATCCTTGCAATGAAAGTACGTAATTTATTAAAATAACAACAATTAGAAAAATAAGAACTGAAATTAAAAATATTAGTAGTGATGGATATTTATTACTTACAGTTCCATCGAAATTTATTTCTTGTTTTGACGCAGACTTCATTTTTTGGCACTTTTTTCTTTATTTCTTCTTTTTCTTCTTCTACTTTATTTATTTTCTACTTCTTTTTCTTTTTCTCCTTTATTTATTTTTTTCTTCTTCTTCTACTTTATTTATTTTCTTCTTCTTTATTTATTTTTTTGGCATATTTCACTTTAGAGCGTTTAGCACGTGGTTGTCAATTTTCAGTTGAGGTTAGTTTGGAAACTTAAAACGTGGATCAGACGCAAATAATGAAGCTAAAGATTACTTCTAAAAATCCCCACTAAAGCGGAGCGCTTGCTTACCTACCCTTTTACTGAATTTCGTAGTGTTTTTTATAAAAAGTTTTTTTTTTTATAATAATAATCTAAATAATTTATAGAAAAAATGAAGAAAATTTTTTTACTAAAATTAAAAATATTAAACCTTATTGAGAAAATAAGTTTGTAAAATAATTACTACCTTTCAGTAATATTTACATCTTTTTTCAATATATTTTTTAATTGAGTTTTCTTTAATTATTAAATATGTACAATTATTCATTTCATTGATTTCATTAATTTAATTAAATTACGACTAATTAATTAAATTAATTAATTATGACTAGTAATTAAAAATAATATCGACATAGAAGAACGACAGCACGTACCCAAGCTGGAGGAATTCTATCATCCTGTCGAAATGATTTTGAATTCACCGGTGTCGCGAGCTGGAACAATCTCTCATATTCCCTTTGAAGTGAATTTTGTAATTTTTCATTTTTCGTGACAACTGCTATTTGAGTTTCAAGGTCTCTCATCACAGATCTGTAGCCTAAAAGTCAATTAGAAATTATTTTTTCGTAAAAGAAAATTAGTTTATTATTTATTTATTTATTTTCTCCGCATTGTCAGAGAATTAATAATAAAAATAAAATTTTTAATTATTATTCGGTATTTTTAATTGGATAATTATCGCCTAAGTGAAGTTCACAACTATAACCCAACGATTAGAAGAGAAAAGAAAAGTTTTTACGCAAAAAACATGAAGAAATATTGTTATAAAAAATTTTTTAGCCAAACATTTGAATGGAAAAATATTTTTTCTATTAAATCTATTATCTATTAAATTTTTTCTATAATTTTTATTAAATATAATCTTTATAAATTATTATAAACGTTGTGAACTTCAACAAAATGTAATTGTCTCAATAAAAGTTAGAAAATCATCATTTATTTGTCAATAATAGTCTGTTATTCAATTTGAGTAAAATACCGAAATTTGGTGAACCAATAAGTGTCAGAGAAGGTTTCTGTTGATTAGGTAACGTGTACCAAAGTCCCTTGGCGTGATACGTCCATCCCGGTCGTTGGAATTCCCATAAAGTTATTCTTTCCGCTTGTTGTAATTTTTCCGATAACTTGCAAAATTTTTCCTCGATTTTTGTATAAGCGGCAGGTATTCCGCCTGCCATTCCTTTGGCACCTTTTACAGAATTAAAGATTTTATTATATTACTTATTTAATTAATTTATTATTATTGAACTTTACGCAATTTACCAAATATTTAATAAAATAAATCGTAAATTATGTTTATATGTTTACCAAAGAAACCATTAGCTGTCGGATGTGCAGTGAGAAGATGACAAACAGCTCGACAATCGCCCAATAATGCGTTTCGATATTCGGTCGTTAAATTAAAATAGCCAGTCGCAAGTCTCAAGGTAGCACCAAACGGAGCAGTTTGTAAAAGTCGAAGTGTCACTTCACTGTCATGCCAAATATCCAACTGGCTCATTTGTATTAAAGGAAATATCCACGTGTCTGTCTCGAGACTTTCCGCTGAAACACCGAAAATTTGTTCCTTATTTTTTAAATTTAATATCTTTAATAAATAAATATAGTGTATTAAATAATTCACTGTATTAATAAATACCTTGCTTATTAATTTCCGACCGTTTCATTATTTCCGTTTGAAATAATGTACGAATTTTCCCAGCAGCAGATTCATTAAATTGCTTTGCCGGACTTTTCAGTGGATTACATTCCACGGAACAAGGAACTGCACTTCCATCTGGCATTAAACGAAAACTAAATTCTCCTACTTTCTCTATAAGTTCACTATAAAAATCGCAAAGTTCCTTGCAATCTTCAATCATGAAATATCTATCTTGTCTATTTGTAAAATAATCATTACTGAGATTGGCACTGAAATTCAAACAAAATTTCATTTTTAGTAAAATTCAATTTATATTGAATTAAATTCAATTAAAATTAAATTACGATACAGAAATTTTGAACGTTCGAATGAACGAAAAATTATTCACCAAAAATATTTTTTTAAATTAGGTACTGATTGTAATATTAAAAAATAAAAACCTAAATTTAACGTTTAGAAACTTTATAATTAATTTTGTTGATATATTTACAGAAAATTATTGTAATAAACTTTTAATTGAAAGAAGAAGTAAATAAATTCCGTTCAGAACTTTAGACATATTTTTAATTAAAATTCTATCTAAGTACAAAAATTTTTTTATGAGAACCCAAAAAAATGAATAAATTCCATTTCTTTGAATGAATGAATTTTTTTTTAAATTAATAATAATTTCCATGATTTACAATATGGATAATAAATACTAACCCGCTGATGATGAGAGTATCATCGAATAAATACAACTTCATATGCTGCAAACCAATCATTTCATTATAACGATCGGGCGTGACTCTTTTTAGAACTCCTCGAAGTTTCGGTGTGTGATAGAGAAAAACATTCCAGCAATTTTTCCACTTGCCATTCAAGGAGGATTGTAATAATTTGCGAGAATTTTGTTTGCCCCGCGAACCACGCATATAGTCTATTAATATACTTATTTTTACACTGCCATCATTTGCATCCAGAGTTTCTTCAATAGTGTCAATCTATATTGAAAAATAAATTTTTTTTTATCTACTGACCTAATTCTTATTTTAAAATACTGTATAATTTTTTTATCTACTCACCAGTTTGGTTTCCAATTTTCCATTTCCAATATACAAGGAAGATAGAACAATACGATTTTGGGCTGTTTTGCATTTTTCTAATAAAGTGGAATAAAATTCAGAAGGCTCCTCGATAATTGTGATCTGAAAAAATAATTACTCACTTTAGTACAAATACTAATTTTGACGTATTATTAATGGTTCATTTAGAAAGTTTATACATAATTATGTTCGTGGCGATTTTTTTTTTGGTAGTGACGAAAAATTATTGTAAGAAAATTTTAATTTGAAAAAAAGAGACAAATAAACTTCGTTCTTAGCACATTTTTAAGGAATTCAATTATTCTTACAAATAGTAACATTCTTCGGAAGAATTCAATTATTTTTATAAATAGTAAAATTCATTGCAGGAATTCAATTATTTTTACAAATAGTAAAATTCTTCGTTTAAAATTTCTGTAACGTAATTTAAATTTAATTGAATTTAATTGAATTTAAATTTAATTGTACTAAATAAAATTGTATTGTTTAAATTTCAGTGCCAATTTCAGTAATGATTATTTCAGAAGTAGACAAGATTAGGAGCATTATTATTATTAATAAGTGAAGAATTATAAAAATACCTTTGATCCATTCACAGGAAAACCTGGAGCCGCTTGATGGAGCCATGAAAGACTGCTTATTTCAAATTGCAAAGAATCCACTTCTGACAGTCGACAACGATCATCTAATACTGCCATTTGATCTTTAAACATATTACAATATGTGCTAATAAATCTCAAACTCTTTAAGTTCTCCAAACCTTTTGAATTCTGAAAACTAGACAATTCAATGTTATTTACCTCATTTTCCAACAAGTAAACATAGAGTAAAAAAATATTATAAAATAATATCTTCTCACATAATTAGAATGTGTCTGACAATTTTATTTTAGTTAAAATTATTACCAATATTTACCAGATAAATGATTGAGCAATCACAGTATAATAATAAATTATTATAAATATTAATATTACGATTATTATCAATTACTAATAATAATACATAATTTTGTAATAAATGAATTAATAATAAATAATGACACACAGTTTTGTAACAAATTATTAATTTGATAGTAATAAATAAATAATAAGAAATAAAATAAAAAACAATTTTGCATAAAGACAATTTTTGAGGTTATGTGTGACAAATATATACCTTTTGACAATTATACGAAATGATGTAGACGACATTCCCCATGTGTATGTAAAAAACACTTAGTACAACATAAAAACTTATAGGAAAGTAATTTTAATACGAAAAGTAAACAAAATTTTCTATAATTTAATAGTAAAAATTGATTTCAAAACGATGACAGTATGACACCGATGACACTTTCATCATAATATTTATTCCATATTTATTCCTATACTAACAAATAGCCAATAAGAACAATTCACTCTCAATAACGATTTTCCATTGGGCTTGAAAGTCACGTGACTTTTGAGCACGTGACTCCGAACACGTGTTTAAAGCTCAAATTCAAATGTCAAAAAAATAAATAAATAAATATTTTAAAGATTTCCTTTACAAGAGCGAAATTTGTCAAACTTTCTCATCTTTTTACATTTTTCGATAAAATAGTGAATTTTTGACTAAATATATTTATGGTAGAAATTAATTTCTGATATTCTCTAATTTCTTTCTCTTTTTCTGTATTGTTGCTAAGCAACTAAAATTCAATACAAAACTAAAAACATGGCTGTTCCTATCAAACGTGTCAAACACTGTCAAATGTTAAGAATTTAGTATTAAAAAAATACTTGTATTTGTTAATTATTAACTAATTTTAAATTTTAATAAAATGTTGTTAAAATATTTAGGATCTATTTTATCAGCTCAAGTAAGTAAATTATTAATGGTTATTTAATATTTAAAGAATTTTTTAAATTATTGAATTTCACTTAAGTTTTCGTCTATTTATGGATTTTTTTACTTTCACTTAGGATCAAGAAAATAGAATAGCAGGAATTGCCTGGTCGCCAAATAATTTAAAGTTGGCTGTTGCTTTATCGGATCGTACAGTTTATTTATTCGACGAACAAGGTGTCAGGAAGGATAAATTTTCCACAAAACCTGCTGATCCCAGGGTAAAAAAAACAGTGACTTTGTTTAGAAATTCTAATTATTTTTGAATAAAAAAATGTGGAAATTTTTTTTCTACATGAAAAAAAATTGGAATATCTAATTAAAATTCCACAAACTCTAATTAAAATTCAACAAAAGTTAATTAAAATTTTACAGTTTGGTAAAAAAAGCTATCTTGTCAGAGGAATCGTATTTTCGCCAGATTCAACAAAAATTGCCATTGGACAAACTGACAATATCGTTTACGTTTATAAAATCGGAGAAGAATGGTAAAAAATTTATTTCAACTAAAATAATTAAATAGATCCTAAATTTAATATTTAGAATATTTAATTTAATATTTAGACTATTTAATTTATGTTCAGGTTAACTAATATTTAGAATATTTAATTAATATTCAGGTTATTTAATATTAAAAAAAAATTTAATTTATAATTAGGATATTTAATATTTAGAATATTTAAGGAATATTTACCTACAGGGGAGAGAAAAAAGTGATTTGCAACAAATTCAATCAGTCATCGTCAGTGACTTGTCTCATTTGGCCTTTGGAGGGTCCGGTTGTTGTTGGATTAGCTGACGGCAAAGTTCGAGCAGCTTTAGTGAAAGCAAATAAAGCTCAAACTTTGTACGCTGCTGACTCGATGACCATTGCATTGGCTACAAAGTAAGAATCCTTATTTGAATTCATTAATTATTTATTGAATTTTTTTCCAAGAAAAAAAATACATTTCATGTGACATTCCACGATTTTTTTCGAATTGTTAACTATAAAAGTATTCGACAAATAATTTATAAATAATAATATTATGACAGTTCTTCAAAAATTAAATTATCTACAAAAAAATTTTTACAAAAGAAAGAAAAAAAAATTATTTAAAATAAATTCAATTTTATATTTTTTAAAGTTCAATTATAGACAGAAATAGAAAAACTTTGAGGTTTTGCATTAATATTTGTGATGACTTCAAAGTACATAAAGTGAAAAAAAAATAAATCAAGAAGAAAATTTTTAATATTTTTAAAGGTTGCTGGAGAAAAAAACTATAAATTTACCAATTTTAGAAATTTAAAACCATTTTCAGTATTTTTGATAAAATTCCGACTTTCGAAGAATTTCTTTGCATTTTTTTTTGTAAATAATGGAGTTTAAAAATTTATTTTAATTAAAAATTTTTAATGTAATTTAATTTTACATCTGAAGGAGTTTCTTTCAAGTTCTTTTTTAAGTAATCGTCTTCGATAATAATTGAAATTAAACATTTGATTATTGAATTTCATTAAAATTTTTAGAAAATAATGAAATTTTTCTCAGAATTTTATTACAATTTTTGTAAATAATTTAATTCATTAAAGGAAATAAAAATAATCGATTTTGTTAATAATTGTAATTAAAAATTTTACTATTAAATTTAATTAAAATTATTGATACAAAATAATATTTTTTTAAACAATTTTATTAGAGTTTTTGCGCAAATATTTAAATTCTTTGGAAGAATATCTTTCAAATTTTTGAAAATAATGTATTTTTTTAAAAATAATTTTAATTTAAATGTTTGAAAAGAATTGAACTGAACAAAGAATTTTATCAACTTTTTAAAATAATCGAGTCTGGTTAATAATTATAATTAAGAATTTTGATTATTGAATTTTATTAAAATTGTATTGAAAATAATTGAATTCCTGAGAAAAATTTTATTATTTAAATTATAAAAATATTTCAATTCTTGCAAAGAATATTCCTTTTCATAAAAATAATTTGAATTTGTCTTCAAGAATTTATTAAAATTTTAGAAAATAATTAAATCCTTTCATGAAATTTTTTTAATATTGTACTGTAAATAATTAAATTCTTCCGAAGAATTTTATTATTCATAAAAATAATTGAATTCTTACTAAGAATTTTATTGTTCATGACAATAATTGAATTCTTTCGAAAAATATTATTAAAAACTTGAAAGAATAATTGAATTCTTTTGTGAAATTTTATTAAAATTATATTGACAATAATTGAATTCCTGCATAGAATTTTACTATTTATAAAAATAATTGAATTCTTGAGAAGAATTTGATTATTTATGAAAATAATTGAATTCTTGCCAAGAATTATTTTTATTTATGAAAATAATTGCATTATTTCGAACAATTTTATTAAAATTTTTTAAAATGATAAAAAACAATAATTATGTATTTAATAAGTGAATTTTTAAATTTTCAATCGTAAATTATTCAAAAATTGAAGATTATATTTGGAAATTAGAAAAAAATTTGTAATTTGAATATTAATAAATTAAATTAAATTGTTATTATAGTAATTTTTTGAGAGAAATTCAATGGTCATAAAATAAAATTAGAAAATATTTAAACTTTTTTTTTAATTTTTATTTATTTTTCTTCAAAATTAACAGATTTTAAAATCCATGGCTAATTTTGTAGAAAAATTAATTTCTATCAATTTTTAAGGGAAATAAAATTTCTAAAAGGGTTAAAATATTTTCTGAATGATTTTATTTTATGATCATTGAATTTTTTTCAAAAAATTACTATAAAAACAATTTTTTGGAATAATTAAATCATTTTCATGATAAATAATTAGAAATATTGGCAATTTCTCTTCTTAAAATTGACACAAACATAAACTGAAATAGTTTTTGGCTCTTTCTTCGTGGAATGTCAGATAGAAAAAATTTAATTTGATAATGAAAGTGTTTAAATGTATTTAAGTGATTGAATTAAAATTGAAATTGAAATTGAATTTGAAATAAATTGAAATTGAAATTAAAATTAAAATTGAAGTAAAAAGAATTTAAGAACTGAATTTAATATAAAGAAAATACTTTTTAAGCACGAGAGGAACGGGCTTTCTATCAAGCCACATCGATGGAAGTATCATAAGATATTTTGTATCCGACGATGGAAATATGGAACCAGTTGGTCGTGTACTGGTGCACAATGTTCCCGCGTACAGTTTAGCTTGGCCTCAAGGACACATTTTAGCCTCGGGTTCCGATAAGAGAATAACATTTTACGATTCTCGTGGCAAAGTGGTGAAATCACTGGACTACAGTCGTGAACCAGGTGAAAAAGAAATGACAGTCGCTTGTTGCAGTCCCAGTGGACAGAGTGTCGCCGTTGGTTCATGGGACAAAATTCGCATCATCGACTGGAGTCCTCGACGTTCAGTCTGGGAGGAGGCGAATTGTCGAAATCTACCCAATTTCTACACAGTCACGGCGATTTCCTGGCGACGAGACGGTTCAAAACTCGTTATCGGCGGTCTCTGCGGTGCTGTCGAACAATTCGAAACAATCCTTCGACGTTCAATAATCCGCGGCAGTCACGAAGTCTCCTACGTTGGTCCCAGTCAGGTCGTTGTTCGTCGGCTCGACAATAAGTATCCTCCAGTGATCATCAGGTAATAATCTAAAAAAAGGAAATTTATTTATTATCTAAAATAAAATATAATTGATATAAATTTTGAATTATACTAAAGTTTCGAACGATTTGTTCTTTTGGTCGGCGGCGATTCACTTGACAATGAAGTAGAAATAAATAAAGCAATTGACAAATTTAGAAGTGAAAATGTTCCATTTTCACTTCAAAATTTGTCAATTGCTTTTTTATTTCCTGTGATTATCAATGAAGTAAAATAAAGTAAAAGAAAATGAAAGAAATAAAGTAAAAAAATCTATTTACAGATCCCAAACCGGAAATGAAATAGAAGACGTCAAGGTGATGGGCCGCAAGGATAATCACATAGTGGCAAGAACATCGGCTTCATTATTAGTCTGCGATATCGATTCAGGCCTATTGAGTGAAATACCATGGAATCATAAAAATCATAAGGAGAAATTTTTCTTCGAATATTCAGCAGTTTGTTTGGTATTTTTGAACGGGGAATTGAGTGTCATTGAATATGGAAAGAACGAAATTTTGGGATCAGTGCGAACTGAAGCTGTCAATCCGAGAGTGGTGAGTGTTCGGGTCAATGAGAGGAAGGTTCTCGGGATGCCATTGAATAATCGACTGGCTTATCTACTCGATTCGAAAACAATTCGCGTGGTAGATCTTTCGATGGGTACGACGCTCAATATAATTAATCACGACACACGGGTCGATTGGTTGGAATTGAGTGAAACTGGTCATAGAATTCTTTCACGTGATAAACGAGGAAGACTTTGGTTGTGTAATGATCAAGGCGGAAGGGATTTGCTTCTCACTGGAACTGGGTTTGCATCTTGGGTACCTGGTAATTTATTTCTTAGATTTCGATATTTAAGTTCAAATCGTATTTCGATTTTTTCTCTTTTCGTATTTTTTTCCTTTCGTAGTTTTTTCTTTTTCGTATTTTTCCCCCTTTAGAATTTTTTTTCTTTTTTGCATTATTTCCGTTTACGTATTTTTTTTCTTTTTCGTATTATTTCTGTTTTTATATTTTTTTTTCATTCTCATATTTTTTTCTTTTTTCAAGCTTCACATCATCTACTAAAACCTACTATTTAGTATTATTTTTTAAGATTTCCCAATATTTGGAAAATTTTTTTAAACTTGTGCTTCTAAAAGAAGATTTTACTTTTATTTGAATTTGCACTACTTTAAATCCGCCAATAGTTGAAAAAAAACAATTGAAGGGCTACATAAAATAAGGGGACGAACGCGAGGCTTGGAAGGGATACTACCAGTCGGGTAGCAGTGACAGGCCTTGAGCCGCTCGCTGCTACCTGACTGATATTATCCCTTTCAACCATGCGTTCGTCCCCTTATTTTATGTAGCCCTTCAATTATTCTCAAAAATGTATCTTTTGAAAAGATTCAATTATTTTCAAAAATTTTCGCATGACTTCAATTATTTTCATAGATAATAAAAGTTTCAGAAGAAATTCAATTATTTAAAATACAATTTTCAAGAAAATTTTTTAAGAGAAGACAATTATTTTCAAAAATTTTGATAAAATTTTGTTTATAAGAATTAATTTATGTTCAAGAAAATTTTTATTGGATTCCTCGAAAAAATTTTCGTAAATAATAAAATTTCATCGCAAGAGTTCAATTATTTTTTAAATATCAATTAAATTCTTCACAAGAATTTATTATTTACAAAAATTTTTAATAAAATTCTTTGCATGAATTTAACTAATTTTTATAAATAAAATTTTTCAGTGGAATTCAGCTATTTTGAATATAATTTTAATAAAATGTCTCTAACAAATTCAATTTAAAAAAAATTTTTTTAAAATTTTAAAAAATTTTTTTTTTTTTTTTTTATTCAATTTTTTCTTAAATTATAAAATTCTTCGCAGGAATTCAATTAATTTTCATAAATAATAAAATTCTTTTCAAGACTTCATTTAATTTTATATTTTACATAATACAATTTTTCACAGAAATTCAATTATTTAAAAAAAACTTCTATAAAATTCTTCGCAGAATTTAAATTATTTTTAATACAATATTAACTGAATTCCACGAAAAATGCAATTATTCTTAAAATTTTTATTAAAATTCATCGAAAGAAATCAATTATTTTCAAAAATGGTGATAAAATTCTATGAGAATTTAATTTTTAGAATTAATCAATTATTTTGTCAATTATTAATTTTTGTATTTAAATAATTGAATTCTAGAAAATTTTTCTAATAAGAATTGATTTAAAAATGAATGTCAGTTAACATTTTAAATAATAATTAAATATTAAAAGTATTATTGTCTGAATTTTTAGAAATAATTGAATTATAAAGGATTTTTAAATTAAAATCCTTGAAAATTTTAATTGTTGCAAAACTGTAATAATATTTAAATATTTATTTGACAAAAATCATTGTTTTTATTTTTCTAAAAACTTATTAAATGTTTCAATAATTTTATTTAAAAATTATAGAATAAATATTAAAATCCATCGCAAGAATTCAATTATTAAATTCTTCACAAGAATTTATTATTTTCCAAAATTTTAAGAAAATTTTCGCATGAATTCAATTAAATAAAATTAAGTAAATTAAATAAAATAATTAAATAAATAAATTAAATTAATTAATTTTATTAATTTTTATTAATTTTTAATTACTTAAAAAAAAATTTTTCAAGAAAAAACAATTATTTTCAAAAATTTTGATAAAATTTTGTTTATAAGAATTTAATTATTTTCAATATTTATACAATTTTTATTAAATTCCTCGAGAGAATTTTCGTAAATAATAAAATTTCTTTCGAAAAATTGTAATAAAATTTTATGAAGTTGGTTAAATTGCGGGAATTTTTTTTTTAAAATTGTATTAAATTTTCCTATTAATTGGAAATTTTGTCAAAATTTAAAACGAGTTTTTTTAGTTGTCTAATTTAATTTTTCAATATCTACTTTTTTACTACTTATTTCAATCTGAAAGATATTTTTTCCTTTTTTCTATTTTTCCCCTTTCGAATTTGTTTCTTTCTCATATTTTTTTTATCTTTTCGTATTTATTCCCCTTTCGTATTTTTTCCTTTTTCTATTTTTTCTCTTTTCGTATTTTTCCCTTTTCGTAGTTTTTCCTTTTTCGTATTTCTTCTCTTCTCGTATTTTTTCCTTTCGTAGTTTTTCCTTTTTCGCTTTTCTTCTCTTCTCGTATTTTTTCCTTTACTGTATTTATTCCTCTTTTGTATTTTTTTTCTTTTTCATATTTTTTCTCATTTAGCATTTTTTCCCTCTCTTTTTTGTATTTTTTACCCTTTCGTAATTTTTTTTATCGTTTCTTATCTCTTCCTTTTTCCAATAAAAAATTTATTTTGAATCATTTCATGAATTTTTTCAGAGAGCGACGTAGTGGTTGCTCAGTCAGGTCAGACGCTAGCAATCTGGTACAACGTGGACGCCCCGGAGGCGGCAACATTGCTCTCAATTCGCGGCGAGGCAACGGAAATAATTCGCGAAAATGGACAAACTCAAGTGCAAGTGGAAGAATTGGGAATAAAAACATCCTATCTGTTAGACGAAGGTTTAATTGAATTTGGCACAGCACTACACGACAATGATTTCGGAAGAGTCGTCCTCTTTCTCGAGGAATTCGGCGATCGACCACAAGCCGAGGCAATGTGGGAGAATGTTGCCAGAAATGCAATGAGTTCACGAAATTTCCTGATAGCAGCGCGATGTTTCGCGGCACTTGGCGACGTTGCTCGTTCACGATTTCTCCAGGATGTGGTGAAAATAAGCGAGGATTACGCCCAAGAGAGTGGAAACGAGGCGCTGGCGAGTCCCGATTGTTGGGCGAGACTGGCAATTCTCAATGGGGAATTAAAAACCGCCGAGGCAATTTACCTTGAGCAGAATGAATTGGAAAAGGCGTTGGAGATGTATCAGAAGTATTGGCACTGGGAGGATGCGATTACTCTCGCACAGAATCGTGGCTGGGAGGGAGTTGCTGAATTGAGAGATAAACATTTGAATTGGTTGCTTGACAGTGGACAGACGGCGAAGGCAGCGGGGATAATTGAAAATAATAATCCTCGAAAGGCGATAAAATTGTACCTTGAGGCTCATCGACCTGGACGAGCTGCTAGATTGATATTGGCGAATGAGGATTTACTGAATGATAATTCTTTGGTTCATGAGATTATCAAGGCACTCAAGTCGACGTATCTCATGGAATTGGCGGGCGAAATTTTCGAGAAGACTAACGATTATCCGGCGGCAATTAAGGCTTACGCTCAGGCTGGTGTTTTTTCACGAGCTCTCGATCTCGCGAGGCAAGCAGAGCCGAATTCTGTCGTGAGTCTCGAGAAAGAATGGGGTCATCATTTGGTCGAATCTGGTCACTACGATGCTGCGATTAATCATTTTATCGAGGCCGGTGAGACGTCTCTTGCTCTAAACGCTGCCGTCAACGCTCATCAGTGGCGGAAAGCTCTGCAAATTATTCAGGTATTATTATTTCAATTATTTTGAGAACAAATTCATTTTGACTTTGAATACATAACTTTTATTATTTATTAAACATCTATTATTTTTAAGGTCCTAAAAATTGAAAAATAATTATTTATCAAAACTATTCAGAGTTGCAACAAAAATTTAATTTTGGTTTCTCCTTAACTTTTCCATGATTTCCAGACAGAATTTTAACTTTTTCCCTGACCCTGAATAATATTCTGATTCACTCCCAAAATAATTAGATGCTCAAAAAAATTTTCTATTACATTCATTTAAACTTGTATTATTTTATTTAAATTTTTGAAAATAATTGAATTTTTTGCGAAAAATTTTGTTATTTATAATGATAATTGAATTCTTGACGAGATATTCGTTAAATTTTTTTGAAAATAATTGAATTTCTACGAAGAATTTTATTACTTTTAAAAATAATTGAATTCTTGTGATGAATGTTGTATTAAATTTTGTTTAAATAATTGAAATTTTGCCAAGAATTTCATTAAAATTTTTTAAAAATAATTTAATTCTTGAGAAAAGAATTTCGCTACCTATTTATAAAGATAATCTAATTCTTTACGAGAATTTTAAAAAAATTTTTAAATAATTTAATTTCTGCAAAGTATTTTATTACTTTTCAAAAGAATTGAATTCTTGTGATAAATTTTAATATTTATCAAAATAATTGAATTTTGGCAATGAATTTTTTTAAAATTCCTTAAAATAATTGATTTTATGGGAAGAATTTTGTTGTTTATCAAGATACCTAATTGAATTCATTTTCAGAAGTATTTAAAAATTTTCGATAATAATTGATTTTCTGCGACGAATTAAGTAATTTATGAAAATAATTGAATTATTACAACGAATTTCATAAATTTATTGACATTTTTTTTGAGGAATTTATTTAAAATTATATTACGTTATTTAAATTTTTGAAAATAATTTAATTTTTGGCGAAAAATTTTGCTATTTATAATGATAATTGAATTTTTGACGAGATATTCGTTAAAATTTTTGAAAATAAATGAATTTCTACGAAGAATTTTACTACTTTTGAAAATAATTTAATTCTTGTCATGAATTTTATTGCTTTTGAAAATAATTGAATTTTTCGCGAAAAGTTTTGCTATTTATAAAAATAATTGAATTCTTGACGAGATATTCGTTAATATTGTTGACAATAATTTAATTCTTGTGATAAATCTTGTTATTTTTTTAAATAATTGGATTTTTGACGAAAAATTCTGTTATTTATAATGATAATTGAATTTTTGACGAGATATTCGTTAAAATTTTTGAAAATAATTGAATTTCTACAAAGAATTTTATTACTTTTGAAAATAATTGAATTTTTGTCTAAAACTTTTGCTATTTATAAAAATAATTGAATTCTTGACGAGATATTCGTTAATATTTTTGACAATAATTAAATTCTTGTGATAAATATTGTTATTTTTGAAAATAATTGAATTTTTGTCGAAAAATGTTGCTATTTATAAAAAACATTGAATTCTTTACGAGATATTCATTAATATTTTTGACAATTATTGAATTTCTACAAAAACATTTATTACTTTCGAAAATAATTAAATTTTTGTGATGAATATTGTTATTTATGAAAATAATTTAATTTTGCAAAGAATTTTATTAAAATTCCTTAAAATAACTTAATTTCTGTAAAGAATTTTGTTATTTATCAAGATAATTATTGCGTTAAACGTTTTGAAATAATTAAATAATATTAAAAAATTCATTCTCGTCATAAATAGAAAAAAATTTATAGTTTATGAAACAAAAAAGACACCAAAATTCTGAATTTTCTTATGAATTCTAAAAATTAAATTTTTTCCAATACAATAAAAATTCCTGACTTTTTCCTGATTTCCCTGAATTAATTTCTGTTTTAATTAAATAATAGAATTAACAAAAATAATAATAGAAATAAAAGAAATAATAGAAATAGAATAAATTTAAATATAAAAATTAAATAAAAATTTGTTTGTTACTTTAATTTCGAAGGTAATTGAAAACGACGAAATGAATAATAAAACATAGAATAAATTTAAATAGAAATTAAATAAAAATTTGTTACTTTAATTTTTAAAGGTAATCGAAAACGACGATCCAGAAATAAGAAAGCAGTGCGAGAAGCTCGGCGAGTATTTCGCTTCGGTGGGCGACAAGAATTTGGCGGAGAGTCTATTTCTCCGCAGCGGAAAACCGCATCGTGCTGTTGAGACACACATAAAAGCGGGCGATTGGGCTCGAGCGCAGGAAGTCGCATTGGGTCAGATGGATTCCGTCGAGGCAAATGAAATTCTCGCCAATCATGCAGAAACTCTCAAGGCTTCAGGTGATTTGCGACACGCCGAAGCATTGTACATCGCAACAGGTGATCACGATTCGGCAATTGCAATGTACAGAAAAGCCGGGCATCGTGCCGATATGATTCGTCTTGTCGGCAAATACAGATCAGATTTACTTCAAACGACTCATGCACACCTCGCTCGAGAATTGGAGGCTGTGGGGAAAATTCGCGAGGCCGAGGAGCATTTCCTGGGAGCTGGCGACTGGAAAGGCGCCGTTACTGCCTACAGAACTGCAAACATGTGGGAGGATGCACTGAGAGTTGCCAAACGTGCCTCGAGTGAAAAAGCCGCTCAACAGGTGAAAACTCGACGAAAGTTTTCCTTTTCTTCCATTTTTCGTTTTCTGAAAAAGAAAAAAGATCCTGTTATGAAAATTCCTTTCTTATTTGATTTACATTTAATTTTATTTTGTTTGTCTTAATTTTTTATGGCTTTTTGCAGGTTGCGCTGATGTGGGCACGAACCCTGGCACCGGAACTCGGCGCAAAATTACTGGGAAGATTGAATTACATGGATTCGTGTTTACAACTTGCGTGTGAGGCGAGTCTTTTTGAATGGGCATTGGATGTCGTCAAGTACGGAACAGCGGAACAACAGCAGGAGGTTCATTATCGATATGCAATGTATTTGGAGGACGAGGGTCAATTTGCCGAAGCAGAGAAGGAATTTATTCGTGCTAATAAAGCACTGGAGGCGGTACAAATGTATATTCATACTCGTGATTGGGAAGCTGCTGAGGAAGTTGCAAAAAATCACAGTCAAGAAGCTCTATCGCAGGTTCTCGTCGCACGGGCAGCGGAAGCTGTTAAGAATCAAGATTACAGCACTGCTGAGGCTCTTCTTCTTCGAGCGCACAAACCGGAGATTATTATCGATCACTATAAGGTAGCGTTTCTAATTTTTGATGCAAAAAATATTAACAGGCCTCGGATCGACATTAGTCACTTTAGACAATTTATTCCAATACAGGGCTGACACAAAAATTTAATTTTGTTTTTCCCTGATTTACAGATAAAATTTTTATTTTTTTACTGACCCTAAAGAATATTCTGATTCACTGTAAAAATTATTAGATACTCAAAAAAATTTTCTATTACTTTCATTTACGAATTTCTTTAATTTAAAAATTATTCGAAAACATCAATAACTTCTTTTTTAAATAAATATTCAATCATTATTATTTTTCCATAGGAATTAAGATTTTTAAAAATTCCAAACTCAAACCTTTTTGAAATTCAATAACTTATAATAATTAAAATAGTCCGAGTGATAACATCATTATTTTATATTATAAAAATATTGTTACTATAACTTCTTCAAAACTATTTTCATCATTTCAATTCAATTATTATTTTCTACAATTTTTAACTAAAATTCTTCTTTAAATCAATTATTTTTCATCATTTTTGAAAAAGTTCTTTGAAAATGTTCAAATCCATTTATTTTCAATTCAGTTTTTACGAAATTTCGATTGTTCGGAAATTCTTTAATTAAATCATACATTAGAAAATAAAAGCTTCAAATAATTTTAAAAAAATTCAATTAAACTTCTTCAAGAAAAATTAATTCTACAGAATTTTTAGTTAAAAATACGAAAAATTCAGATTTTCTAAGATTTTAATTTGAAACAATTTCAAAATTCAATTATTTCGAAAAATTCACGCTATAATGCTTTTAATATTTAATTATTATCAAAAATTTTAACTGAAATATATTTTTAAATCAATTTTTATTAAAAAATTCTACTAGAATTCAATTAGTTAATTACAAAAATAAATAATTTATTGAATAATTGAATGTTTCTTAAAATTCAATTCTCATAAAGAATTTTGTCAACAAATTTCTAAATAATTGAGTTCATTCGAAGAATTTAAAAAAAATTTTTAAGAATAATTACCTTTTTTTAAGAAAGATTAAAATTGTATTAAAAATAATTGAAATTTTATGATTAGTTTTATTATTTATAAAAATAATTCTTAAAGAGAATTTTATTATTCAACAAAATAATTTAATCTCTTTAAGAAATTTTATTATTTATGAAAATAATAGAAAAAATAAAATATAAATTTAATTTTTCGAAGAATATTTAAATCCTTACTAAGAATTTAATTAAAATTAAACTGAAAGTAATTAATTTTTTCTAAAGAATTTTACTAAAAGTCTTGAAAATAATTGAATTCTTTCAAGAAATATTTTTATTTATGAAAATACCTAAGTGAATAATTGCGAAGAAATTTATAAAAAATTTGTAAATAATTGAATTCCTGTGAAATTTTGATTATTTATTAAAACAATTAAATGTTTGCGTAGAATTTGATCAAAATTTTTTTTAAAAAAAATTGAATTCTTTTGAAGAATTTTATTAAAATAGTAGATATTGAAAATGATTGGATTGAGGAAGATTTTTGAAAATAAAACTGAAATTTTACCAAGAATTTTATTAAAATTTTTAAAAATAAATGAAACTTTACCAAGAATATTATTAAAATTTTTGAAAATAATTGAATTTTGGAGAAGAATTTTATTATTTCTAAAAATGATTGAAATTTTGATGATAATTTTATTATTTATAAAGAAAATTGAAATTTTTACGAGAATTTTTTCAAATTTTGGAAAATAATTGAATTTTTGCGAAGAATTTTATTACTTTTGAAAATAATTAAATTTCTGCCATCATTTGTTACTTCTCCAAAATTCAATTTTTTTAAGTGTTTCTAATCTAAGTTTTAAATTAATTTTTTAATTCTAAGTTCTTTAAAATTTCTAATTAAATTCCTTGAAAATTGAAATTTTATAAAATTTCAAATTGAAACCTTCTGAAGTTCATCTATTTATAAAAATTGTAAATGCTATTCTTTTAAAATTCATTTAATTTTGAAATGTTTAAGTAAAATTATTCATTGAATAATTTCTAAGTAATAATTTAATGATAGCTCTTCAAGAATTAAGTTATTTGAAATGAAATTATTGTCAGAAATAGAGAAAATTGAAGGTTTTGTATTAGAATTCGTGGTAATTTCATAGTTTTTATGAGGCAAACAAAAAAGACACCCAAATTCAGAATTTTCTTATGAATTCTAAAAATTTAATTTTTTCCAGTAAAAAATCCCTGAATTTTCCTTGATTTCCCAGATCAATTCTACTTTTTTCTGACATTTTTCTGAATTGCCTAACTTCCCTGACCTGTTAATAATTAAATTTCACAATATTTGGAAAAAAGTTGCATTTTTTGAAAAAAAATCGAAAAAAAAGTCGCACTTCTCGAAATATAGTTTAAAAAGGCGAAAAAGTCATTAGTATCCGAAGCCTGTTGATACAAAATTAAAAAAAAAAACTATTCAAACAAAAAAGAATTGAATAATTTTATTCCAGAATGGCGGAATGTGGTCGGAGGCGATGAGAGTTTGTCGTGAATATTTACCAAGTCAGGAAGCAGCATTGAGACGGGAATTGGGCCAAAAAACGTCCCAAATCGATGGTGGAAATAATCTCGAAGAAGCTCGGCGATGGCTCGAAGTTGGTGAAATTCGTGCTGCACTGGATATTCTTCTCTTTGATCCACAAGCCTCAAGAGCCGCTCTTATTCAAGCGGCAGACATTCTTTTACATCAAGCAGAACCGGACGTTGCCGCTCACATCGGCGGCGATCTCGGAACTCGTTTATTCTCCGTCGGCGAGTATGCTCTTGCTGCTCAGGTAACTAAAAACCAATCATTACATTAATTTTATCATCATTATTATTATTATTAAAAAATGAAAAGAATAAAAAAAACTCACCAAATTTCAGGTATTTCTTCAAGCGGACAGATTGAGAGACGCGATAAATTCACTGGCAGCTATTGGCGAGTGGGAGCGAGCAAAACGTGTCGTTCAAGAGCTCGCACCCGATTTGGAATACTATTTAGAGGAAAAATACAAAGAGACAATGATTAAAGAAGATCAAATGGATAAATTGGCGGAAGTTGATGCCGAAGCAGCATTGGAAATTCTCGTTCGCAAGGGACAATGGACCCAGGTATTTGAAGCGGCAAGTGCAAAAAGTTCATCCCTCCTTCACAAATACGTCGCTCTTCGTGCCGCTCAATTACTAAAATCAGATTCGCCAATTCAATCCTTACAATTGTACGTGCAATATGGCACGCCACCAATTCCGCAAAATTACAATCTCTACTATCATCTGGCGGAGACAATTCTCAATTCGGAAGAGACTCACAGTGAATATCGTTATTTATCGCAATTACGCGATATTCTTGTGAAATTTGTGAAAAATCTCGAATCCACGGATTATTTGGAGAAATTCGAAAGACTCTTTCGAGCGGCTCACTATTCGAGTTTTCGTTGTGCAATGAGAATGTATCCGCCTCTCGCGGGATTAATGGTGAAGGCGTCAATTGTTCTTTTGCGATATTCGGATATATTGTTGGCTGATCGTTGTTACTATGAGGCGGGAATAGACGCGAGATCGGCGGGTTTGAGTAGTGAGGCTTTTGTCTTTTTGAATCATTTTCTCGATTTGGAGGAGTGCATCGAGGAGGGCGATGGAAGTATTTTGGATGTGGATGACTTGAGAATGACTGATTTTCCACTCGAGGTTCCACTTCCGTCGCGATTGACTTTGACGAAAGATGAGAGGGAGGAGGTGCGTGAATGGGTTCTGACGGTGTCGGTGGATCAAAAAGTGGAGCAAGGATTGCCGACCGATCATCGTGGAACTTATACTGGATCGTTGACTAATTCTACGGATAAATCGAATGCATTGCAGGAATGTGCACTCACGGGTTATCCGATTCGTGGACCAGTTGTTAGATTTGAAGGGACGAGTTGTGTTGCCGATCGGGACGATTGGAATAAACTTGTGAGCGCTGCTCGACAAGCGCCTCCCGACTCCAATCTCAATGATATTCTCGCTTTTATGCGAGAATGGTGTGGAACGATTCCCAATTATTCCTTCTAATTTCATTAATTTCATTAATTTCATGGGAGAATTTTCCTACGAAAATAAATACAATGCTTCCTGATGAGGAAGCAAAAACAAAGATTGATACAAAAGAAATTAAATGAAAAGAAAATATTTCTTGATTTTCATCGAGAGAAAGATAAAGAAAAAAATGTAAAAAGAATAATGAAGAATCAAGAAATATTTTTTACATAGATGTTAAAATAAATGCAAATTTAAATTCAATTTTTTTTAAATTTGAATTTATATTTGCACTTATTTAATTTATTTAATATTTAATATTTAGAAATAATGAAAGATTTTAATTATATTTATAAATAAATTTATATCCTATAGAGTCAATCCATTAAATGTCGGTTAAACTCATCGCCAACTAATTATAATATTTTAATAAATATTACAATATTTTGCAAAAATGATTTTGAAGTATAAACATTAAGAAATGAAGAGCATTTTTCGGAAATTTTCTACATTTTCCAGTAAATATTATGTGCGAAACGTGGAATTTAATTTATTATTCTGCAAATTTTTTAATTCTTTTATATTTTCAAATATCAAGTTCAATTTTTTAATGAATTTAGATTCAAAATTTGAAAAAAAATTAATTTTCTAACTAATTATTATTATTTATTTTCTAAAATATTAATAAAATTCTTCACAAGACTTCAATTAATTGTTTATAAAATTTTAATTAAAATTCTCGAAACAATTCAATTATTTTCATAAATTTGTTTTTTTTTTAAATTTACATACTTTCAATTCATTTTTAATTAAATTTTTTTTAATTCTTTCACAAGAATTAAATTATTTTTTATAATTTTTTAATAAAATTCTTTAAAAAGTTTAAATATCTTTAAAAGTTTTTGAAAAAAAATCTGTAGAAAAATTCAATTAATTTCAATATAATTTTAATCAAATTCCTCGAAAGAATTTAATTATTTTAAAAAATTTTAATGAAATTCTTCGAAACAATTATTCAATTATTTCCGAAATTTTTTAAAAATTCGTCGCAAGAATTGAATTACATATTTCAAAAATTTTCCAAAAATTCTTTCAGAAGAATTAAATTATTTCAAAAATTTTGATAAAATTATTAAAAGTTAATTATTTTCAATTTATTTTTAATTAAATTTCTTGAAAGAATTTAATTATTATCTTAAAAAAATTTAATGAAACTCATCGAAACAATTCAATTACTTTCCCAAATTTTTTTTTTAAATTCGTCGGACGAATTGAATTATTTTTATAAGTTATAAAATTCTTTGGAGGAATTCAGTTGAAAAAATTCAAAAATCAAAAAAAGAATATTAGTTTTTATCAACAGTGATTAAATTAAATATTCTAAATTAACATAAATACTTAAAGATATGAAATTATAGATAAAATATTATTACAAAGTTTACCTGTCAAATATCCTAATTTTGCGATTTTTATCCATTAACTATATGAGAAAGTGGAATAAATTAAGGATAAAAATAAAAAAATTAAGATTATTTGACAAGAAAATTTTGATATTATCTATTATTTCATATCTTTAAATATTTATATCAATTTATTATATTCAATTTAGTCATTGTTGTTAAAATCCAATAATTTTCTTTACATTTTTTTCCTGAATTGTATATTTTCTTTGATTATTTTCTACTAGCTGAAAAATTTACAGTTTTTAGCATCTCATAAGCACATTAAATTCACATTTTACAATAAATGTAAAATTTTCATAAAGTTCTATTCATTTCGTGATTTTCATACCTTCTAAGTAAACAATTTTTGCAAAATATTATTTTTTTAAATTAGTCGGCGACGACTTTATTCGAAATGTAATGTTTTGACCCTATAACGAAAATATTTCTTGATTTCATGTCAAAAAGAAATGTAAAAACGGTTGAAAGTAAAAAATCAAGAATTATTTTTTACATATAGATCGAAAAATAAATCAAAATATAAATATAATATTTAAGAAGAATGAAAGATTTAAAATATATTTATAAAAAAATTTCTAACTTAATTTCTAAATAAATTGTAATGTAAATTAATATTCTATAAATGTGACGCTCTCCGAAGAAAGACACTTAAGAAGCAAATCATTTTAAGGTTTTATTTGTGTTATTTTTACCTTAATTAAAATTTTCTGCTTTATTGCGTAAAACTAAAAGTAGTGTTTTAAAATGATTTTGGATGTAATAGACTTAAACATCAGTGGTTTATTTATCAAGAGTTGAATCCTTTTGTGTATTATCATTTTCAAAATTACAAACAACCGATACATTTTTTTCTTCTTAGTTTCCTTTTTTAAGATCGCGTCACAAATATAACACAATTTTGTAAATATAAATTCTACAATTAATTGAATCAAGATTTTAACATTTGTAATTTGGTTTGGAACCAAAAAAAATTTATTAAAATCAGATCGCACTAAACTTATAATAAAATAGGCGCCATAAATTATTTTAAACGAGAATAAACATCTAGTCGAGTACAAATGTACAATGTAACACATTCCTCCAGTACTATAAATTGAAAAACATAATTCCCTATTTATATATGTATATATAAGAAATAAAATTACTACTTTCACGCATTCTTCGATACCGAAGTTACAATAATTATATATATTTATAATAATTCACTACTCTGTGGTTTTTTTTTTCTTTTCAAATAAATTGTGTATGTATAATATTGTAATAATATATAATATGTATAGAATGATACAATTTTAAAGTACAATTCCTTGCGTTCACACTTGCGTTTTCAAGCAAAGTACCAAATAGTTGACATTATTACCGTTTAGTTATTAACTATTGCTGTGTAATTCTGAAAACAGGACCAAGCCTAAGGAAAAACCTTCGCAGAACAGATCTTAATTCAGGTTTAAGATCGAAGCACATAACTTCGCATAGCAATAGATAACAATTTGATGCGTGCACTGCAAAACGATTGTCGGACATTTTCAATATTCTCGTTAGTAGGAGAAGGAGAATTGGCGTCCATGCGTCACGATGCGCTTCGGTTGAGAGTGCGAGGAAATAATCCAAAGCCTCGCGCGCCACTTCCTCGAGACGATTTTCAACTTTTGACCAATCGTTTCTGTGCGCTTCGTCACTGTACATTTTGAAAAGAATTCGTAAAGCACAGGCTAAAGATTGTGTCTCTTGTTTCATGAGACTTGGTTTCACATTGCCACGAAATCCCGCCTTCCAAAGGACATTTCGTTGCTCGTGATTGGAATTGAAATTTTTCGCGAAACGATGCGATTTCAAGAGACACTCGACAAGTCGCAGAAGATGATTTGCCGTCAATGAACAGTACATGCCCTGTTCCTCTTTCTGTTGATCACCGCCATTACTGCCGCCTAATTCGCTTGATTTATGATTCATCATGTCAGCTTGAGCTAGAGCAAGATTCTCCTGATCCTCTTTTCTCGAGGTGGCCGGATAAAAGACGACATTGTCAATTGTTTGGATTAATTCCAATTGCACGACACACTTGATGAGTAGGGCGGAGAAAATTTTCGTTCGATGATTCTCACCGTTCGTTAGACTCTGATTACTGTTACTTCTCTTCAGGATGCCTACATGATCGGAATCACCGGTGATTACATCGAGATCTGATTCCTTGTTCGGTGATTGTGGTTTCCACGTGAGCAGTGCATTTGGCAGGGTACTTTCAAAAATATCAAAGACACAACGACACGTTTTATCCCACGTTTGTTCGTCAAATTTTATTCCATTACTGATGACTAAATTCTCGAGACAATTTGTTCCTGATCGTGCCAATTGTTCATTGTCTTGTTGAACACACCATAATAGTTGGGAGTACAATTGCTCAAGGAGAATGGGTCCGAGAATCTCGTAAAATTGCGAGAAGACATCGACTATTGCGTAGAGTGCATGATTACACGTCGTTGTCATCCATTCAGCTTTCTACAAAAGTATTTACTTTTTTAACAAATTTCCTTCATTTCTTTCTTCCTCTAATTTCTTTTTCTTTCTTATCAACTAAACTAGAAATTTTCATTGTTGATCAAAATGTAAATTTTTGGAGAAATCTTCCTCCAAATTAATTAATCTTAATATTGTCAACTAAGTTAACTACATTACTCTTGTTAATAAAGTGAACTATTTGAGAGAAATAAATTATAATCTATTGCTCTCAAATACTTCACTTTGTTAACTTTGTTAACTTTGTTTTTCTTCAATTTTAACAAATTCTGTTCGAAATTTATATCAGAAAATTTTTAAATACATGAAAAATTAATAATTTACCTCTGTATGTTGCTCGGGTAATTTCATATTATCGAATATCCTAAAGAGAACTTGGAACAAATCTTTCCACCAATGTGGTTTAAAAGACAAACCATGGGTTTTGACAACTTCGAAAAGTACAGTCAACGCTCTCGTTCTGACATCTAATTTACATCTGCTAACGACGCACGATAATTCGAATAATAAGGGGAACCAACCTCTCACCTATAAATACATAAAACAAATTAATTTCATATTGAAATAAAATAATCTTACAATTAGTAGTTTAATGATTTTGATTGAACAATCAATTTGAACAAATTCTTTCAAGTTTTTAAAATAATCGCAATTCTTAATAATTGAAATTTAACAATTACTTATTGAATTTTCTTAAAATTTTTGTAAATAATTGAATTCTTCTCAGAATATTATTACAATTTTCTAAAATAATTTAATTCTTTCAAGGAATTTTATTGAAATATAGAAAATAATTAAATTCTTTCGAAGAATAGATGCTATTAAAAGTTTGAACTATAATTGAATTCTTTCAAAACATTTCTTTAATTTATTGAATATTAATTTTGTTAATAATTATAATGAAATATTCGGTTTTTGAAGTTTATTAAAATAGTATAGAAAAGAATTGAATTCCTCAGGAGAATTTTATTATTTATAAAAAATAGTTTAATTTTTGGGATGAATTTTACTTCGAAAGGGTTTCTTGACAAGAATATGTTTCAAATTTTGGAAAATAATTGAAATTCTGTAAGGAATTCAATTATTTATGAAAAAAATTAAATTCTTGACACAAATTTGTTTCAAATTTTTGAAAATAATTGAAATCCTTTGAAGAATTTTATTATTAACGAAAATAATTAAAATCTTTAAAAGATTTTTAATTTTTATAAAGATAATTGAATTCTTGCGAAGAATTTTATTAAAATTTACAAAAATAATTTAAATCCTTTGAAGAATTTTATTATTTAAAATAATAATTGACATCTTAAAAAGAATGTTATTTTTTATGAAGATAATTGAATTTTCAGGAAGACTTTTATTAAAATTTTTGAAAATAATTGAAATCCTCCGAAGAATTTTATTATTAATGAAAAATAATTGAAAACTTGCAAAGAATTTTATTTTTTATACGGATAATTGAATTCTTGGAAAAAATTTTATTAAATTTTTTGAAAATAATTGAAATCCTCTGAAGAATTTTATTATTAATGAAAAATAATTGAAATCTTCAAAAGAATTTTATTTTTTATGAAGATATTTTTACCAAGAATTTTATAGAAATTTTGCGACAATAATTAAATTGCTTAGAAGAAAATTAAAATTCTTTTGAGAAATTAAATTGAAATTGTATCAAAAATAATTGAATTTTTCCGACGAATTTGATTTAAATTTTTAACAATAATTGAATTTTTAAAAGAAATTTTATTATTTAAGAAAATAATTGAAATTTTCAAAAGAATTTTTTTTATGAAGATAATTGAATTCTTGCGTAGAATTTGATTGAAATTTTTGAAAAGAATTTAAATTCTCAGAAGAATTTTATTATTAATGAAAATAATTGAAAACTTGCAAACAATTTTATTTTTTATGAAAATAATTAAATTCTTGCTAAGAATTTTATTAAAAGTTAGTGACAATAATTTAATTGCTTCGAGGAAAATTAAAATTCTTTCGAGAAATTAAATTAAAATTTTATGAAAAATAATTGAATTTTTGAAAAGAATTTCATAGCTATTGAAAATAATTGAATTTTCAGGAAGAACTTTATTAAAATTTTTGAAAATAATTTAAATCCTCCGAAGAATTTTATTATAAATGAAAATAATTAAAATTTTCAAAGAATTTAATTTTTTATGAAGATAATTGAATTTTTAGGGAGAATTTTATTGAAATTTTTGAAAATAATAATTGGATTCTTTAGGAAAATTTTATAACGAATTAAGAAAAAAATTGAATTCTTTTGGGGAATTTTATTGATAATAATAATTTAAAGTTTGCAAATATTTTACTATTTTAAAAAATAATTGAATTGCTCTAAGGATTTATTAAACTTTTGTTGAAAATAATTGAATTTTTGCAAAAAATTGTATTATTTATAAAAATAACTGAATTCATCTGAAGAATTCAATTATTTTCATAAATAATAACATTCTTCGGAAGAAAGATTTTTGAAAATATAAACAATAATAATTAATTATTTAAGAATTTTTTTAAAATTTTGATTATGAAATTATTCAAAAATTTATATTTGAAAATAAAAAATTTTGTAATTTCCATAATAATAAGAAATTGAATATTACGTTCCGCAAGCGTAACATTTGCTATAGTTACAAAATAAATTCAAATGCTGCGGAAAAAAATATAAAAAATTAACTAAATTTTAAAATCAAAATAGTTATTTCATGTTTATTGATTGAAAATTCTCACCCAAGCTCGATCATCTTCAGACACCATTCCATTATCATCCATCATACCTTCAGCGAACATATTCGGATTCATATCGATATAACAGGCACAAGATCGAATCAGTCTTATCGCTTCCATACTTGTGTCAGGAAATGACGCATTACAGGCGAATTCACTTAGGCACTTAACCGCATCTTGAAATGAATCTACCATGATGCTAAAATCTTCAGCGTACAATTCATCTGCGAAAAAAGGTTTAATTACTTTAGAATTCTTTTTCCAAAAATCCCCTAATTGTTATTAGGATTTATATTTTTATTTGGACAAATAATATTATATTAACAAAACAAGAATATAAATAAGGTTTAGTAATAGTATAAGTAATTGTGTTCTAATATCTATTAGAACATAGAATTTAATCTCTACTAGAATTAGACAAAGAAGAAACTCACTGATAATTTTTCCAGTCATAGAGAAGGCAAGCTCAACAACCGACTCATCACGATCACTCGCCGCATGATGAAAAACGCTGAATATATTCTTCCAACCTGATCGTATATTCGGCGCTTGTGAATGTACAATTTGTGCAACACATCTGACAACCATATCGCGAATAATTGGCGAACGATTCTTCTTCATTATATGCTCGAAAGGCCTGAGAAAATCCTTTTGAAATCGGAAATTTGCAAATTCACCTTTCTCAATGAATTTCGTTGCCAATTGTCTCAATGAATCGACGGCAAAAAATGAGATATCCTGTCGAGGACTACAGCCGACACGATCAAAATGCTCGCCAATTACTTGCCAAATTCGTGACCATTGCAATCTAATACGTCCCATATTGTAGTAGGAAATTTCAACTATTTTTGTCAATGAAAACATTCGCGGTTGCATTGGATGCGCCAATTCTTCCAGTGATACTTGACAGAGTGCCTTGACAAATTCCACAATTGCATCGCCGTCCAATCTGGTTGAACCAGTAAATATTCTATCCACTGCCACGACAACGCTCTGCGAACTTGTCTCGCCGATTGACTCCTTTACGCTCGCTGAAAAAATTAAATATCCAAATTAGAATAAATTAAAAAATGTCTCCAAAATTCTCGACGTCTTATTTGGTGTTTTCGAGATCAAAATGTCACTAATTATTATTTATTTCGCCCAGAAAATAATTATCGTTTTGATTGCAGAAAAGAAATTAAAGTTCAGGAATTAAAAGAAGGAAATAAAATTAACTGTAATTAATTACTTACGATCTAGAGAACTGAGATTTAAACTATTGGACTGATTAGAATTATTGTAACTTAAACTCGTGAGATTAGCGAGTGGCGATTGAAAATGAGGCTTCGAGGGAGGTCCCAGAAGTTGAGGTCGCACTCCAGTTCCAATTAATTGAGCGAGCTCCAATTGCGATATGCATTTGACGACATCGAGCCAAGAGCTGCCAAGGTAATTTCCGTCCGTGTGCGCGACAGTTATTAACGTTTTTATTGTATCTATATTCTTTGATTTCATTTCCGTTATGGGCGAATTTGCCGTCAAGAGAGTGAATCTCGCCAAAGCTTGTACATACGCATCACGTTCCAACTGCAATTAAAAATAAAATCCAATTGTTTTTTTAATAATTAATACAGGCCTCGGATCGACTTTAAAATGCAATTCAATTATTTTCTTCAATTTTTAACTAAACTTCATCTATAAATCGATTATTTTAAATAATTTTCCGAAACTTCTTTGAGAATTCAATTCTTTAATTACAAAAATTCAATTTTTTTATTTGTTGTCTCAAAAATGTTCAAAATAATTCTAAAAAATTTTAATGTTATCATTTTTTCTATGAATTTGCATTTTCGGAAATATATAATTGAAAATATTGAAAATAATTGAATTTTAAAAAATTCGAAGAATTACATTTTTCAAAAATATTTTAACATAATTTTTAAAAGCTAATTTTAATTAATTTTCATTTTTATGAATTTACACTTGACGATTTTTCATTAAAATTTTTGAAAATTTAATTATTTTCAAAATTTGCAATTAAAATTCATCAAAAGTCGATTTTCCAAAATTTGTAATAAAATACTTGAAAAAATCAATTATTTCAATTAAATTCTACAAAATTTCAATTATTCACAATTTTTTTTAATTGTATATTTCGAAAATTTCATTTTAAAAATTATTCAAAAATACTTCTTGAAAGATTTGTCTATTCTAATTTTTCACACTATAAAAATTTGAAACAAATTGAATTTTTCCAAAGAAAATGTGTTATTTTGCTGCAATATTTGGAAAAAGAAGTCGAAAAAGTCTCAATTTTTGAAAATCAGTCGAAAGAGTCGAAAAAATTTAAATGTCCGAAGCCTATTAATAATATTAACATATGAATAATTTTCTTAAAAAAACTACTACTAATAAATATTTAATATTTAATTTAACTAACTAATTTGGTTAAAAAAAACTCACCGTCATGTGGAAAATACAAGCGATTCTAATTGCGCATCGAATACCGTCTAAACACAAAGAGGCAATTTCAGGATCATCACAATCTTGAAGACCAACACTGAAAGCTGCCAGGAATGGTGTCCACGCAATTTTAAACATTGGACGAACATGTTCGAGATGTTTTGCCGTGGTGAATGGCGCTTGAACGTGACTAACCGACTCCATTAAATTCTTTGCTGCCGTTGAGATCACTTCCATTTCCATATTCCACAAAAGTCTCCGTTTCTTTTCACTAGAAATAACTGTAACAATAAAAGAATTGTTATTTTATTCAATATTTAGAGAATACAAAAATAATGATGAACTATTATTAACTATTAACTATTATTAACTATTAACTATTAATAATTTATTAACTATATTTTAATTTTGATAAAATAAATTAAAATATTTAAATCATAAACATTTAAACATAATATTTAAATCATAAACACCTTGTTTCCCAAGTCTATTTGGATTCGATTTCATTTTGATTTCATTGCCCGCAATTTGGTCGTAGATTTTCGACAAGTACTCCTCTGGTAAATCTTCATTATCACTAATTCGTCGATTTAGTTTGATGTATTGCTCTTTGGTCATTTTGTTTTTGACCTGAGGTGAATGCAAATCTGTAGTGAGCATAATAATTGAAAAACCGAGAACATAGACAGTATCGGCACTAGTAAACAGACCATTACTGTAAAAGAAATAAAAAAATTTATTTTCCGACTTACAATTAGTTATTTCGAGTCATTTTATCGAATAGAAAAAAATTCTTCAAAAAACGATGAAATTTTAAAGTTTTTCTTTTAAATAGACAGAAATAGTGTATTTAATTAAAAATACATACTTGGGATTACACTCGCAGTATCGACTGGCAAATTTCTCCATTAGCCGATCGATTTTTTGAGCTTCACCCGGCAGTCGAAATCCTTCCAAAAAATATCTAAGAGCATTGACTAATTCTCGCTTCGCAAAATCCATTTGATCTATATAACTGTACATAACTACATTATGATTATGATCACCGAGGAAATCTCCAATTGCAGTTTTATCGAGACGCTCATCGACGTGTAGCCATCTCGCCACATCAGTCGGCGATGTTCCCAAACGACCTTGTTCCTGAAGATACTGGATTCCTTTACTTGGTTTACGATTAAATCTTTTGGAAAAAAAAATAAATTAAAAATCATTTGCTTTAAGTTAATAAATAACGATAAAAAAAATTGTTCCAAATAAAACTTACATTTCAATACCAGCTTCCCAAACTTCTTTCTGATGTTTTTGTACCTCGTATTGCTCCGGAGAATCGGGAACTTCCTTATTTCCTACGAGACTAGAATTTGCGGACGACAAACTACCGGCACTTCCATAACGTGGCAAAGGTGGATCGAGCGGAGGATCAGGCGGCTCCGTTGGCAATTGTTGTTCAGCGGGAATACTGGGATTCACGTAGAGATCACGACTCCATTCGACCATACACTTCAAAATCGACACCAAGCACTCGAGACCTCGTATTCTCATCGATTTCTCCTGATTCGGAGACGCGCCAAGCTCCAGGGCATGTCGACCTTGCGCTATCTTCGATAAGTCATTAACCAGCCTGAAAATCACAATCGAAATTAATTCAAATTTTAATTAATTTAATTTAAATTAAAATTTAACAATTAAATTTAAATTAAAATTCAACAATTAAATTTTAATTAAAATTCAACAATTAAATTTTAATTTAAATTCAACAATTTAATTTGAATTTGAATTAAAATTAAACAAAATTAATTGTAATTTTAATTAAAACTAAACAATTTAATAATTTTAATCCGAATTTTTCATACAATAATGAAATGATTTAGAAAATAAAACAAACCTTTCAAATAAATTAGCAGCCGATAGATCACAGTCATAGTTTACGTAAATATCAACGACACTTTGCGCATCGGCACAAATACGAGTCAGTGCATGTATCACCATCCATTTATGTTCAAAGGAACTGCTTGATGTTTCGAGTATATTCATGAAAATCTCCTTGAAAAATACTTCAATCTGCATTTTTAAATGTACCTTAAAACGTGCTAGCAATGCAAGGAATAACGCCAAGGACAATTCAAAAACTTCAGGTACTGAAGAAACGCCATTCTTCGATAAAGCAACACACAAATACTGCTTAATTGCAATAACAAACATTTCATTCGATCTCAATATTGGTCCCGCATTTTGCAATATACCCAAGAGCAATTGTAGTGACAATATTTTTGATCGTAGCTCGTGAGATCTGTAACAATTTTTAATAAAATATTTTATTTATCAACTGAATTACAATTTCAATTAAAAAATTAAAGACAAAATTAAATTAAAGATTAAAGTAAAAACAAAAAAATTAAAATTAAAGTAAAAACTAAATTAAAAATTAAAATCAAAACAACAAATAAAAATTGAAGTAAAAACTATATTAGAAATTAGATTTAAATTATCTGGGTCATCACAATTAATTTAATTCACAATTCTTAAAAAGTAACCACAGCCGATAATCAGCAGAAGATGAAAAATTATTTTCTGAGCGAACTTTATCTTCTGTTTACTAACAATTGTTAGTCAAAATATTTTTTACCGGTCCCAAACTATTGCTAGAACAATTCCAATTAATATCTAGGTCATCAAAATTAATTTAATTCACAGTTCATAAAAAGTAACCACAGCTGATAATCAGCAGAAGATAAAAAATTATTTTTTTAACGAACTTTATCTTCTGTTTACTAACAATTGTTAGTCAAAAATTTTTTTACTGGTCCCAAACTATTGCTAGAAGAATTCCAATTAATATCTAGGTCATTAAAATTAATTAAGTATACATTACAAAATAAAAACTTCAAATAATTTAAAAAAAATTCAATTGATTTTTTTCTAAAAAATTATTTCTATATAATTGTTAGTTAAAAGAATGAAAAATTCAAATTTTCAAAGATTTTATTTCAAAACCTTTTCAAAATTCAATTATTTCTAAAAATCCATGATACAATGCTTTTTTAATATTCAATTATTATCTAAAATTTTAACTAAAATTCATTTTTAAATCAATTTTTATTTAAAAATTCTAGGAGAATTCAATTATTTAACTTCAAAAATAAATAATTTATTAAATAATAATTGAATGTTTATTAAAATTGAATTTTCATAAAGAATTTTATCAACAAATTTATAAATAATTGAATTCTTTTGACGAATTTTAAAAAATTCTTTAAGAATAAATTCATTTTTTGATAAGTTCCATTAAAATTGTATTAAAAATAATTGAAATTCTACGATGAGTTAATTATTGTGAAAAAATTTGTAAATAATTTGAATTTCTGAGAAATTTTAATTATTTATGAAAATAATTAAATCTTTGCATAGAATTTTATCAAATTTTTTTTAAATAATTCAATTTCGGAGATGAATTTTATTATTTTTAAAGATATTTGAAATTTCGACAAGAATTATTTTTAATTTTTGAACATAATTGAATTATTGAGAAGAAATTTATAAAAAAAATTTGTAAATAATTGAATTCATGTGAAGTTTTTATTATTTATGAAAATAATTAAATGTTTGCATAGTATTTTATCAAATTTTTTTTAAATAATTGGATTTTGGAGAAGAATTTATTATTTTTAAAGATATTAGAAATTTTTTTAATTTTTTATCATAATTGAATTATTGCGAAGAAGTTATTAAAAAATTGGTAAATAATTGAATTCTTCTGAAATTTTTATTATTTATGAAAAAATTTTTTGAAAATAATTGAAATTTTGCCAAGAATTTTGTTAAAATTTCTAAAAATACCTATAATTAAATTTTGGAGAAGAATTGATTATTATTTATAGAGATAATATTGGTAATTTGACGAGATTTTTTTAAAATTATGAACATAATTAAATTTTGTGATAAGAATTTTATGATTTTTGAAAACAATTGAATTTCTGCAATCATTTGTAACTTATAAAAAATTCAATTTTTTTAGTGTTTACACTAAAATTCTTAGCTATAAATCCATTATTTTTAATGATTAATTAAATATATTTATTAAAAAATTTAACTTATATTTCAGAAGAATTTGATTTATTAAAATTTTTCAAAAATCGAAGTTCTTGAAATTTTCTAATTAAATTCATTCAAAATTGAAATTTTCTAAAATTTGAAATTGAAACCTTTTGAAGTTCACCTATTTATGAAAATTGTAAACGCAACTCTTTTAAAATTGAATTAATTTTGAAATATTTAAGTAAAATTATTCATTAAATAATTTCTAAGTAATAATTTTATGATATTAAGAATTAAGTTATTTAGAAAGAAATTATTGTCAGAAATAGATAAATTTGAAGGTTCTGTATTAGAATTCGTGGTAATTTCATAGTTTATGAGACAAACAAAAAAGACAAAAAAATTCAGAAATTTCTTTTGAATTCTCAAAATTTAATTTTTTCCAGTAATTTTAATAAAAATCCCAGACTTTTTCTTGATTTCTCTGACCAATTCTACTTTCCCTGTCTTTTTCCTGAATTTCCTGACCTGTGGCAACCCTGCATTTGTTATTTAAACTGAACTTTATTCTGTGAAATTAATTTTTCTTACTTTGGATCAGGAGTTCCATCGGGCAGTGGTTTCATAGAAAGTTTGCAAAGTGCGCGGAAAACCAAAAATGCATCTTTTTGCAGAACATGAGTGAATTTTGCAGTTACTATATTGTCACTTTCGGCGACTGTCTCATCTGTATTGTCGTCGGTTGGAACTTGATCCAAACTAATTGCTTCCGAAGTGACGGGAATTGGTGACTCCTCAGAAATAATTGTATTCACCACATCGTCTAAAATTGACTTCACAACAATCTGCGACTCCTGCACATTCTCTCCACTCGGCTCCTCATTGACAACCTGCTCGCTCTCTGTTTCCGTCCCCGAAGTTCCCGACTGATCAGGTTGCTCCATTTCCGCCTTAATGTGCTCCTCCTCCTAAAATGGTAAACAAATTAAAAATATTTCTCTTGAAATAAAGAAATAAAACTCTAAAGTATAAATAACTCTAAAATAAATAGAATTTCTAAAATATTTTAGAAATTCTATTTATATTCGAGTTATTTATACTTTAGAATAAAGAATCTCTAAAATAAATAAAAAGTTAAATTAATACTAAAAGAAATTAAAATATAAATTAGAGAAAAGCGTAAAATTGTAATTTAAATTAAAAATTGTATTTCTTACAGCTTGCGTCTCCATCCTTGCGAAAATAACATTAATCATTTGCGTGAGAGTGGCACGAGCTGTCGTTTGATTGACTAAATTTCTCGACGCAAGATAAACATTGTAAACGGTGCGAATTGTGAGAAGAACAGTTCCCTCGTGAACTTCGACGTGTTGACTTGTCATAACGGTCAACAAGGCTTTGATAATTTGTAATTGAACTCCCTCGTCCGTCTGTGGACCCATAAAGCATGCACATATTGTCTCCACAATGCGAACAATCAGCAATTTACTTGGATCGGTTGAATCTGGAACACTGCCCGTCAGGTGACCGTACGCTATCAACTTTTGTAAACAATCCAATGATGTGACAACAATTCTTGGCGATTTACTTTGACACGCCAATTCAAATGGAAGGAAATATTTTTCCGCCGAAATGACACTTGAATCACTTTTCGGTTGGGGTAATGCATTCGAAATTGCTTCATCACTCTGCGAATTTGGGACATCTTTGATTTCGTTCCGTAAATCCTCTGGAATTTATCGATAAACAAAATTAGTTATAAAAGACAATTTGTACTTTAGATAAAACTTTTTTTTAATTTAATGTTAAATAAAAAATTAATTAAGCAGTGTAACAATTTTATTTTATATTTCACTGGCACTTTTCCCTTATTTATGCTCTCAAAGGTTTGAACGTTCAAATGAACGAAATATTTGTTATTTAAAAATATTTCCATAAATTACTGATTGTTATAAAAATTAAACATTTTAATTTTATACTTAAAAACTTTATTATTAATTATTTTTGACAATAAAGCAAAATTATTGTAAGAAATATTTCATTTGAACAAAGAATAAATAAATTTCGTTCAACTGAACGTTCAGAACTTTAAGATTATCCTGATTTCTAAATTCAATTATTCGAAACTTGAATAATTTTATTAAATAAATATTTAAATACTTATTTGTTTTTTCCACGGGAAATAAAATTTTAAAAATTTCAATTTAAAACCTAAAATTTTATAATTACTAAAAAATACCTTCTAAAATGTAAACTATTTTGTACAATTTTTAACTAAACTTCATCTCTAAATCAATTATATTAAAATTAAAATTAAAATTGAAAAATAATTGAATTTCTTAAAAGAATTTTAATTAAAAATTTTGAACATGCTTGTTGTCTCAAAAATGTTAAAAATAATTCTAAAAAATTTTAATGTTATTATTTTTTCTATAAATTTGAATTTTCGGAAATATATAATTGAAAATAATTGAATTTTAAGAAATTATATTGAAAAATTCGAAGAATTACATTTTTCAAATTTTAACATAATTTTTAAAAGCTAATTTTAATTAATTTTCATTTTTATAAATTTACATTTGACGATTTTTCATTAAAATTTTTGAGAATTCAATTATTTGTAAATTTGCAATTGCAGTTTAATTCAATTATTTTCTGTAGAATTTTAATAAAATTTCACAAAAAGATGCAATTAGAATTTTTAACAATTTTTAACAAACTTTTTCGAAAGAATTCAATTATTTTCTAAAATTTTCATATAAAAAACAATTCAATTATTTTTATAAATAGTAAAATTCTTGGCAAGAATTAAATTATTTTTATTAATATTAAACTTCTTCTAATAAATCCAATGATTTTCAATGCAATTTTAATAAAATTCAATAATCAAATTGTTAATTGCAATTATTAACAGACACAATTATTTTAAAAAGTTGAAAAAAAATTCTTTGTTTAATTCAATTATTTTCAAAATTTTCAATTAAAATGATTAAGAAACCTACATTATTTTCAAAAAATTTAAAGAAATTCTTCAAAATAAATATAATTTCTTGAATAAATTAAATTTTTTTAAAACATTTTAATAAAATTCTCAGCAGAATTTAATTATTTTCTAAAAATGATAATAAAATTCAATAATTAAATGATTAATTTCAATTGTTAACAAACTTGATTATTTTAAAGACTTGAAAGAAATTCTACATAAAAATACAATATTAATTTTAAAAATTTTCAATTAAAATGATTAAAGAAACTCCATTATTTTAAAAAAATTTTTTAAAATTCTTCAAAAGAATTTAATTAGGATTTTCAAAAATTTGAATAAAATTTTTCGCATGAATTCAATTATCTTCATAAATAAATATCAAAGAATATCAATTATTTTCAAATTTTTTGATAAAATTCTTTGCAAGAATTCAATGGATTTTCAATGCATTAAAAATTTTAATGTTATTATTTTTTGTATGAATTTATATTTTCGGAAATATGTAATTAAAAATTTTTTTCATTAAAATTTTTTAAGTATTCAATTATTTTCAAAATTTGCAATTAAAATTCTTCAAAAGTTGATTTTCAAAAATTGTAATAAAAATATTGGAAAACGTCAATTATTTTCAATTGCATTTTACAAAATTTCAGTTATTAAAAATCTTTTTAAATGTATATTTCGAAAATTTAATTGGAAAAATAACTAATTTTTTGAAAGATTTTTGTCTATAGTTTTTTTTTACACTATAAAAATCGAAAAGTTCCATTTTTTTATACTAAAAAATGTGGTAGTTTCTCGCAATATTTGGAAGAAAAGTCGAGAAAGTCACAATTTTTAAAAATAAGTCGAAAAAAGGCGCATTTTTTGAAAATAGTCGAAAGAGTAACAATATCCAAGGCCTGTAAAATATAAATTTTTTTAGTTGTTAGCCATTAGTTGATTGTTAACAATTAGTTGGTTAACAAGTTATCAGTTAATAATTAATCGGTTAACAATTCGATAGTTAAATTAGTCGGTGAACAATTCGACAGTTAATAATTGTTCAGTGAACAATTCAACAGTGAATAATTAGTCGATTAACAATTTCTCAGTCGTTAATTATTAATTAGTTGTTAACAAATAAATTGTTACTACTTAATTAAAACTAAAATTAAATTATTAGAAAAAAAACATGCCTTGTGACACTGACAATTAAAATCAATTGAACAACGAAACAAAAGATAAAAAAAAACAACCAACAAAATTAATGAAACAATCAATTGTTTAATAAACTCACCAAGTGCTGATTCGCACGCTTTTCTAAGTTGTGAGAGATGTGATCTTTTGACATCTCTGTCGGCGAGAATTTTTTCAAGAGCTCTGACAATGAACATCTCTCTGGTTTTGGAATTATTTTGCATCGTCAATTATGACACCTGATCCCACTGATCTCCAGTTCAAATTCTATCCAACAAATATGTATTGAATGGCAGAATTGATAAGTAAGATAAGTAATGTAATAGCAGGTTAAATTTGTGAAAGTAGATTGACGTAAGCATCCTGACGATTAGGTTGTCAACATTAATATAGTGCACATTGCAATAGGTTTAATTTAACGAAGAAAATTTTAATTCACAAATAATTTTCATGATTCGAAAATGAAAATTTACTTATTTAATAGTCAATCGGATAATTTACACAGTAAGCATTACTAAATATATGTGAAGAAACGATTGTTGAATGTTGACAGATTGACAGGGCACATATTCGATTTTTTTAGTGGTTAAGTATGTGAAGGTGGTCCTCCATCATGGGCCACCTATAAACTTTTTAGTTGATTCACGTTCCAGTAGATGACACAATTGAAAATTTCTTGCTAGTTACCATGTGAGTTAAATTTATCGACTGTAGGTTTTCTTCGCCGCGGGAATTTTCAAATTTAATTTTCTTCTTTCTTTTTTCATATTGTTTTCCATACAGATTTTTTCTTTCTTTCTTTTTTCCGTTTTTTTCCTTCCTATTTGTTCTTTCCGTCTTCATTTATTTATTTATCGATAAGTATTTTTTCTTCTTTTTCTTTATTTTCGGACTAATATTTAATACACTCAGGAAACAGTTTCACTTGGATTGAATAGATTGTCGTTTCTTCAATAAATAATCTTTTCGTAAATAAATAATTTTATTTTTTCTCTTCGCATTCAAAAATTATTTTATTATTAAAAATAATTTCAATGATTTTAATAATTTTTGGACCTGAAACAAAAAAAAAAATTAATTATACTGACGAAATGAAATTAACTATTATTAATTATTATTAAATATTACAAACCTGTTATAGAAGATTTTTCGTTATTATAAACTGAGACTAAAAAGCATAATTAATTATAATTTAAAACAGAAGAAATTTAATTATTTAAATCTAAAACGGAAATTTTTTTCAATAATTATTATTAACCTGAAAGAAAAAATGTTTTGTTTAAAAGTAAATAATAATAATTTTCTAAAAAAGACTTGCCGTCGATACGTTTTCTCTGCGCATTATTATCCTCACTTACTTGTCTGAAACATATAAAGAAAAATAAGATTTATTAGTTTATAATTTTAGTATTTGGAATTTTTTTTTTATCAATAATGAATAAAATAAATAATAAAAAGAATAAATTTTTTAATAATAAAATAATAAATAATAATTTGTTATTTAATAAATCATATGTTTGATTTTTACGTTTCGATTTTTCTTCTCGTCAAATTTAATTTTTCCTTAATTACGCATTTTTTTCCTTTTTTTTTATATTAAAATTACATTTTTAATAAATTGATTCGTTCAAATAAAAAATTTTATTTCCAGAAAATAAAATATTATTTTGTGTCAAATAAATTTTATTTAGTTCAAGTAAAACATTTATTTCCATTAAAAATATGCACTTGTGTCTCAAATAAATATTTTCTTGGGTCAAACAAATTTTATTTGGTACAAATAAAATATTTTTTTTTTTATATTATTGTAACAAGTGTGAAGCTAGGAGAAGTGATTTTAAATAAATTAATAAAAAATTTATATCGATTAATTAAAGTAAATAATATTAAGAATATTAAATAATATGAATATTATTATATTTATTTATTATTATAATGTAATTGATAAATTTAAATTAATTAGAGCTTAAAATTTCTCCTTTTAATTGAAAAATGTATTGAATTTATTTCATATAGTTTTTTTTCTGCACTGCATTCTTATTAATATTCATTATAAGTGATAATTCATTAATAAATATTAAATCGCACAAATTAATCAATTTCAAAATTTTCAATTCTTGATTATTAATTAAAATCAATTTATTATTTGATTATTTTTAAAAATTTTAACAAAACTCTGTAAAAAAAAATATAATGAATATTTGAACTGTAAATAAACTTCAAAGTTTTAATTATTAAACAATTTTTTAAACTCATTACTTTCAAAAAAATTTTTTTTCATTTAATTTTCAAAAATTAAATTATTTTCTTGAAAATTTTTCATTATAATAAATCAAATGGTAAATAATTTTTCAGAAAAAGGTGTTAAAAATGTTAAATAAAAGAAATTACCTAACTTGCAAAATAATTAATTTATTGTAATTTTAATAAATTGAAGCTTTTTTTATGAAGAGTTAAATTTTTAATAGTTTAATTAGTCAATTAGTTTAATAATAATTGTTTTAAATCGACTTAAATTAAAATAGATTAGATTAATTTAATTAGTAAAGTTAAATAATAAAATTTTTATATTTTAAATTCTTGAATTTGAATTTATGTTTATTGTGATGAAAATAAACTATTAAATTTTTTATTTCAATAATTAACTGCTATAAAATAAAATAATCAATTTTCAAAAAAAAGGAAAAAAGCAGATACATTAAAAGTATTAATTAATTAATTAATATCTACTTTTGATTTTTTAAATTTACTTTTAATTTCATTTAAATTAATTAATAAAATTGGAATTGGATTAAAAATGGCAAAACTTTATGAATTTTTGAATTCATCATGGAAATTTAATTTAATTTATTTATTTAAAAAATTATTATTTTGTTTATTTATTTATTTTGAAAAAATTCTAGTTCCAATGAATTTTAATTTAAAAATGGAAAATATATTAATAAAAAATCCAAATAGTAGCAAAAAGAAAGAAAAAAAAATAGAAATTTAAAATATTAATTAACTAATTAATATTTTTGATTTCTATAATTAACTTTTAATTCAAATCAATTAATGAAAATGGAAATTTGATTAAATATTGCAAACTTAACGGAATTTTTAATTCATGTGAAAATTTTATTTTATTCATTTATTAAAAAGGTTGTTATTTTGATTATTTATTTGAAAAAATACTAATTTTAATAAATTATAATTTAAAAAATTAAAGTACGTTATAAAAAAATTCAAATACCTATAGTAGCAAAAAAAAGTAGAAATTACTTTTAATTTAAATTATAATTAATAAAATTGGAATTGGATTAAAATTTGCAAACTTAACGGAATTTTTAATTCATTGGAAATTTTATTTTATTTATTTATTAAAAAAAATTGTTATTTGTTTATTTAGTGATTTGAAAAAATTCAAATGAATTCTAATTAAAAAATTGAAATTATACTATAAAAAATCCAAATAGTAGCAAACAGTAAAAAAAATAATTATTAGATGAGTGCAAAGTCTGAAAATTTCGGAAATGTGTATTTTACAATAGTTGGTTCAGTTTAGAATTAAAAAATCGTAATCAATTGTCATTTGAAATATAGTCGATAAATAACATATATAAAGAAAATAGTTGAATAAAAATTACTGGCGCTAAATTTGAAAATACTATAAATTACAATATCAAATTTCACGTTGTAAAAATTAAAAATACATAGACGTGTATACAATTTTTGGTGAGAAGGAAATATTTTTCTAAAAAGCAATTGTTAAATAAATTGTTAAATTTAAAATAACATTAAATTGCATTACAACAAAAAATGATTAAATTTTTCTAAATAATATTTTCACTCAAATTATAGTTTAAATAAAAAAAAATAATTTTTCTAGTCAGATAAAATTTGTAGGAGGCGATTAAGCCTTATAAGTCTCATTGCATACATGAAAAAAGAGAATAAAATTTTATTATATAGTAGAGAAAAATGAATTATAATTATGCTTCTTATATACTATATATGTACATCTATAGATATACAATTTTATCAAAGTTATAGGCGCTGCCATCGCTCGGATCAATAAAGGGTAGGAGGACTGTTTTGTCAACTTTCTTCTAAAGCATTTGTTCGATACATTCATATAATAGCAAATGTGGACTTAATTAAAAACATTTATAACAATACCCTTCCCCCCAGAAACAATCCAAATTATTCAATCAATTGTAAGTAGAATTTTTTTTTAATTATTACGCTTATACACTCTTGGGGAAAAAATTTACAAATTTCAAATATTTTCCCTTCATTGACAGTATACAATATTTTGCTAATAATAATCAAAAATCTATAAGTGTGAGAAAATTATAAATTAATATCCACTGTTTAAAAAAGACAATATAGAAAATTATTTAATTTTTAAAAAATTTGATAAAAAATTTTTTTTTGAGTTTATAGAATTATTATATTATAGCTAATTTTGATCTTTGACATTTACAGAGTAAAGTTACATTTACAGGATTTAGTATAACGTTAATTTAATTAATATTATTAAATGTTGACTTTTAACTTATTTAATAATAATTTAATAATATTGTAGACAAAATGAAATTGATAACATATTGTTTGATTTTATCTTTAGTTTTAAAAAAATTATTCATAGTATAAAAAGAATTGTTACTATAAATTTATTGTAATAAATAAAATTTTGTATATTGATAAATAAAAAATAAAATTTTATTAGAAATAAAAAGTAAAAAAAAAAATAAAATTTTAAATTCTTTCTTTGTATTTATAAAAATACAAAAATACATAAATACAAAAATACAAAAATACAAAATTAAAAATTACGAAAAATTTAAATTTTTTTTAATTTCTTTCCAAATTGGTTTTATTTTTTTTTTTTAATAAATTAAATGAATTTGGTTTTTATTTAATTAAATAATTATTTGTAAAATTTTGTTTCAGACGATATGGTTACTTTAGAAGATAGTTGGAAAGAAGCGACTGAGGGCTTAGATAGTGAAGTTTGTGAAACTTGGTTTACTCGACTCCAGGAAGCATATTCCGAGGAGAAGAGGACTTTTCATCATGTAGAATCTCTTTGCGAGAAGCTCAATCATTTTTATGAAATAAAGGAATGCATTAATAAGCCACAGGCAATGTTGTTGGCGCTTTTCTTTCAAAAGTATGTACACAATATTTTTTAAACAAAAAATTTTTTAAAAAAATTTATTTCTAAACTAATTAATTAATTAATATTAATTAATAATTTATTAATTTATTAACTAACAATTATAATTATACATATTTTATCTCTTATTTGAATTAATAAAAATGAAATAAAATTAAATATTTTCAAACCCCTCTAAATTTGAATAAATAAAAGTGTTTACTAATTTAAATTAGTGACTGAGTTTTTTCTTTTGAATCAGTAAATTTTACTAATAAATTATAGTAGCAATTACTATTTATTAGTAAACTTTACTTGTTTTTGCTTTTGAATTAGTAAACTTTACCAATAAATTAGTAGAAATTATTATTTGTTAGTAAAATTTACTACTTTTTGCTTTTGAATTAGTAAATTTTACTAATAAATTAGTAAAAAAGACTATTTATTATTAAAATTGACTAAATCAAAAGCAAAAAGTCAGTCCCTAATTCAAATTCGCCATTAACTAATCAAAATATTAATAAAAATTTCTACTAATTTAAGTCTACCTAAACTTTAACTATTTTCTTTAGAAATTTTTAAATTGTTTACTTAACTATTTTTTTTTAAATTAGGAAAAAATTTTATGTCCCTGAAGGTTTACACGTTCAAGAAAACGAAACTGTTTTTTCCAATTAAATATTTTTTATAAAAATATATTACTATACGAAAGTGAAAAATAACATAAATTATTTATTTACTCAACAATTTATTAGTTAACAATTTAATTCTTTAATATAAAAAATAATTGTTACAATAACATACAAAATTAAATGAAGTTACAAAAATATCTTCGTTTATTGTAAAGAAGTAGGTCGTTCTAAACTGAGGAAACATAAATTATTATTACAAAAAAGTTACAAGAAATATTACAAAAAATTTTTTACAAAAAGTTAGTCATTTTTTTTTACTAATTGTTACTAATTTAAATTAGTGGACGATTTTTTACTAATTCAAGTTTAGAGAATAAAATATTAAATAGAAAGTATATATAATAATTAAAATTAATAATTAATTAAAATAGAATATTAATTTGTATTTTTTATTTTTCAGCTTTGAATACGATCCAAAAGCATTAGACGATGAAAATAAAAGTTTAGAGCACTTCTCAGCTTTTGCAGACGAAGTTGGAATTCCAGCAGTAAGTTTATATTATTGAAAAACAAAATTAATTTCCATTTTTTTTTTTTTGAAAAATATATTTTTATTTCGAAAATAAAATGAAAAAATAATTTTTTTTAAAATTTTGTTTATTAGATATTTGTTAATTATTATTTATAATAATAATTATTATTTATTATATGGTTTTCTACACTGAAAAAAAAATTTATTTGATCCAAATAACCGATTAGTTGCCTATCATCAAACAAATATTATTATTTAATATTTGTTAATATTTATTAATTTATTATTTATTATTATTAATAATAAATTATTTTACATTTATTATTATTAATTAATAATAAATTATTTTACAATTTATTATTATTAATTAATAATAAATATTATTGTCCCGTCATGTTTATAAATAAATAAATAAATATTAATATTTATTATTAAAAATATAATTCTTATTTAATTTAAATTTGTATATTTGTACAAATAATTTAAATATTTGAATCAAATAAATCTTATTTATTTGATTTAGTGTAATTTTAAATATATTTTATTATATATTTATTTTTTTATTTGACTTATAAACGGACTGTGCCCGTTTATAAGTTTTATTTTAATATTCTACTTTTTTTATTTTAATATTAACATTATTATTTTATTATTTTGAATTTTGCTTTTTTTCTAAATAAATAAAAAAATATAAATTTACGTTTTTTCTGCCATTGTTTTTACGCTCTAAATTAATAATTTATTTATAGGATGGAGAATTACGAGAAGAGACTTGCGCTCTATTGAGAGCAGCGGCGACGCACAGTACAGAGGCACATAAAATTGGAGGCGCATTCGGAGGAGAAGATGCTCACTATTTATTAGATTTAGATATGGCTATTTTGGGATCTGTACCTGAAAAATATGCAGAATACAGAGAACAAATCCGCGGTGAATATTCATTTCTCAGTGAACCCATGTACACTGCACTGAGACTAAAGGTAAAAAAATAGCATAATAGAAAAAAAATTATCAATCCCAATTATTTATTATTTTAATTATTAATTATTTATTTATTTAAACTCTAAAGTTTTTGAGAGATAAAATAAAAGTTCAATTTCTCCACCTGAGAGCGCCAAGGTCGCCACCAGATAGCGAGGAATCTGATTTTATCAACCGAACTGCCATCTGACGGTGACCTTGGCGTTCGCAGGTGGAGAATTGCAACTCCATTTTGAATCTCAAGATATTCGTCAATATTCGTAATTTTATAATTATTTATAATTAAATTTTGAGAGATTTAAAATTAATATAAATGGATTTTAATTTTTAATTTACTTTCCTTTTTCGATATTTTTATCCCTTTCAATTTTTTCATAGTTGCATTTAAGGTCATGTTATTCAGTGTAAAGTTTTTCCATAGTCAAGTATATGGGGCACGTGACCACTGAATAACATGACCTTAATATACAAACATCATTGTAATAAATTTTAATAAAATTTAAATAAAAATATAAATTCAAATAAAATTTGAAAAATTTAAAAGAATTAAAAATACAAATAAACAATTTGATGGAGAAATAAATAAATTTTCCCTTATTTTTAACGTTCGAAACTTTAGGAAAATAATTTCTTGCGATTGAAATTTGACGCATGATTAAAAATAACAAAAAATATTAAAAAATTATAATTTACAGTGTAAAATGACAAAAAAAATTTCTTTCAACAGGTGCTACAGAATTTTGTGCAGATTCCAAATATCTTTGCAACGAAGGAATTTCGAGAAAAATTTGAAGAGCAGGCGCGACAAAATATTCAAGCCGAAGTTGAACTTTTGTCATAGAATGTTTTTAAAAACATTTTTGATAAATGCCTTGATATTATTTTAAACAAAAATGGTCATAAAATAATGTCGTTTTTTTGTGACTGCAAAAAACTATATATATATAAATATAAATAGATCTCATAAGATCGAAAAAACACTATTAAAAATAATAAATATTTAATTTACGTTCAAAAATTGTTTGAATATTTAAATTAGATATTTTGAATTATTATTCAAATTAATTAATAATTAATTTTTTATTATTAATTAAATTAGTTAATTAATTAATCAATTTATTAAATTTATTAAATTAAATATTTTTAATTCAAATTATCTAAAAAAAAAAAATGAGTAGTTCTAAAAGTACAAGCACGAAGGAATTAGCGATCTTCAAAAGAATCGCCACCGAAGAGATGAAAATATATCCGAAAAATTTAATATATATTTGTGAAAATTTATTTTCTTTTGTGAAAAAAGAATTTATTTTCTTTTTCAAAAATCCAATTTTCGTCACCGAGAAGCTATTCATAGTAAATAAATAAAAATTACTGTTGTTTAAAAAAATTAATGTGAAAATAATAATAATAATGAGAGACTTGATGGATTTTTTCCAACATCTGCAAAACACTATGGAAAATAAAATTGTTTCCAATATTGAACTGTTGACTGTAGAATATTAAAAAAAATATCAATATTCACGTTTTTTCTTTCCTTTTCATATATTCAGTTGTAAAAAATGATTTATTATCAATAAAAAAAAAATAGATAAGAATTGTTTGCAAAATTGTATTAAAAATTGTAAATCAATATCGTAGGAAAAAAAATTTGATAAATATTAAAAGATGAAGAAAAGGCGGAAAAAACAAATTGTAATTAAAAATTAATTCTTGTCGTGTATACGTCTGAATTTATACCTTAAATAGAGATCGCAAAAAAATACACGAATTAAAAAGTAATTGTGAGCGCAACGACTGCTATTGAATTATAATAGAAATCTACAGTTTTAGTGTTTTTTTTTTGTAATTGTTCTTTTTAGAAATTTTTCTTCAGAAATAGTAACTTCATACTAATTAATAGTAGAATAATATTGTTTAAATTATTTTTTACATTATTATTAAAAATTATTTAAATTATTATTTATATTATTATTATTTAAAATATTTTTTTATTTTTAATTGTTAATTTCATTTAGAAAAAATTATTGTTTAGCACATTTTTGTTGGCTTAACTTTCAATGTTATACAATTAATGACGATAAGATATTTTTGTCCTTTTATCTTTATTTCGCATATAAATATAAAACTTGAAATTAAATAAAAAAAACTGTATATTTCGTTGTAAAAAAAATTTTTAAAGCACTTGTTTAATTTTTAATTTTTAATCGTTAATTTAATTTAGATAAATTTATTGTTTACCATATTTTTCTTGGCTTAACTTTCAATGTTATAATTATTAATGACGATAAAATATTTTTGTTCTTTTTATATTTTATTTCGCATATAAATATAAAACTTGAAATTAAATAACAAAAAAACTGTATATTTCGTTGTAAAAAAAAAAAAATTTTAAAGCACATCTGTGAAAAAACAATCGAATGGTATAATTATTGAGAATTGTGTCGAAAACGGGTAAAGAAGAAAAATATCAATTCAGGATTTTAAAAGTTAAAAAGATACTTAAAGACAAGTGCTTTTATTGTTATCTAGATATACTCTAAATATATTATTATATATAAATATAAATATACGGGTTCGTTTTATTTAGAAGAAAAAAAATTGATATACAATTAAATGTAAAGAAAAGGATAATTATATATACACACGATCAAGAGAGTTGTATAGTAATCCTCTTCAATTTTGTCAAATGTTATTTCAAAAATATGCGGTGCAATATGTGAATTTATGATGACAAATAAATAAAATTAAATAATGAATTTGATCTTTTCATTTTTAGTTTCATTATTATTTTTTTTACAACTATTATTTATAAATTATTTAATAAATAATTTTACTTAAATATTTCAAATTTAATTGACTTTCAAAAGAATTGAGTTTACAATTTTCATAAATCAATTATTTTCAAAATTTACAAAAAAATCTCGACAAAATTTCAATTATTATCTTTATAAATAAAAAAATTCTTCTTCAAAATTTAATTATTTTCATAAATAATAAAAATTTCACAAGAATTCAATTATTTACAAATTTTTTAAAAATTTCTTCGCAATAATTCAATTATGTTCAAAAATTAAAAATAATTCTCGACAAAATTTCAAATATCTCCAAAAATAATAAAATTCATCTCTGAAATTCAATTATTTAAAAAAATGTTGATAATATATTCTATGCAAAGATTTAATAATTTTCATAAATAATAAAAATTTCGCAGGAATTGAATTATTTACAAATTTTTTATAAATTTCTTCACAATAATTAACTCATCGTAGAATTTCATTATTTTTAATACAATTTTAATGGAAATTCTCAAAAAATGAATTTAATCTTAAAGATTTTTTTTAAATTCGTCAAAAGAATTCAATTATTTATAAATTTGTTGATAACATTCTTTATGAGAATTCAATTTTAAAAAACATTGAATTATTCAATTTTCAATATCTACTATTTTAATGAAATTACCCAAAAGAATTCAATTATTTAAAAACAATTTTAATAAAATTATACGCAAACATTTAATTATTTTCATAAATTATAAAAATTTCACAGGAATTCACATATTTACAAATTTTTTTATTTTTTCTTCTCAAGAATTCAATTATTTTCAGAAATAATAAAACTCATCGCAGAATTTAAATTATTTTTAATACAATTTTTAATCAAATTCCTTGAAAAATTTAACTATAAAATTTTTTATTAAAATTCGTCAAAAGAATTCAATTATTCAAAAATTTGTTAATAAAATTCTTTATAAGAATTAAATTTTAAGAAACATTCAATTATTCAATAAATCATTTATTTTTGTATTTAAATAATTGAATTCCCGTAGAATTTTCTAATAAAAATTGATTTGAAAATGAATTTTAGTTTAAATTTTAAATAATATTTGAAAATAATTTTTAAGAATTTACAGTAACAATATTCTTATCATATAAAATAATAATTTTAACACTCGATTCTCTTTAATTGTTATCTTTATGTTTTATAACAATATTTTTAAAGTTGATTAATTTCAAAAAAGTTTTAATTTGAAATTTATATTTTTTATTGTAAAAATTATTAAAAAAATTTTGTTTACAGTTTTTTCACACAAATTGTTTCGGAATTTAGCATATCAATTTAATTTACGAGCATTTTTTCCAAATTTCTATTTTTCTTGGCGAATTGAAAAAAAATATATTGTATAAAATACTAAGACTCATCATCATGACAATAATATTGATTAAACAAAACATTTTTGTTTCGTTTCCAAGATACGAAAACAATTACATAAGCGTTAAAATTAGATTTAGTTTTCTCCTCAAAAAAAAGAGTTAAGTTAAAAAAAACAGTTTTCGTTTTTAAATGAAGAAAATTGAATTATGCCGACGAATACTGAAGTCATTGATAGGATTAGTTACGAAAACGATCAGGTTCGAAAAAGAAATTTACAAAAAAATAAAAATAAATACAAGTTCTTTGATATTTGCTTCAACATCTTGATATAAACAATTTTTTATAAGATATTTATTATTAATATATTTAATTTTTCTTATTCTTCATTTTTTATTCATATTTTCTTATTATTTATTTGTTTATATTTTATAATTATAGTTTAGTTACAATTATTATTATATTTTTATATTACTATATTTTATAAACAATTATTATTACAGTTTTAGTGTAATTTTTTTATTTACATATTATTATATTGTAAGTAAAAAATAATAACTGTAAAAAGTTATTATTAAATTTGAATTAAATTAAAAATTAAAACTTTTTAATTATATATTTATTATTAATTTTTATTTGCTATTATGTATCTATAGTATATTATATTATATTTTATATACAAATAATAATAATAATAATTATTATTATTAAAATTATTAATGAAAATTTATTATTAAATTTAAATAAAATAATAAAAATTCTTAATTTTAATTTAAAATTTTGAATAATATAATTAAGATACTTTCTATAGTTTTTTTTTATAGTTACAAATTACTTGGAATAGATTGAAAAAATTTTTTGAAAACTTCGCTCCTCATAAATTGCAATTTTCAAAATATGGAATGATTATAAATTATTTTTAGATAGCAAATTCCTATCGACTGGAATCGCAAAATCCATTTAAAGCGGAACCAGTGGAGAAGATTTTAGAAACATGGATGAATAATATTTTAGAAAATGCATCTTACGATGCAAATGAAAGTCCAAAATTATGCGCGCAAATCGCAAAAGAAATTAGAAATCGAGTCCAAATGTTAGAATTTGATAGGTTGGTGTATTTATTCAGATATCATATTTTTATTTTCTATCAAAAATATTTTTTATAAATAGAAAAGTATTTCTATTACAATAATTTTTTTGTAAATAAAAAAACTATTTTCTATTTATTTTATTCACTTTATATATTCTTAAAAAAATTTTATTTTTAATTTCTTTATTAAAAAAAAAGAAAAAAGAAAAGAAATTTTTAATAAAATTTTATTTTTCAATAATTTTAATAAAAATTATTATTTTATACTTTATAGTAAATTATTTCTTAGAATTTAGTCAATTTATTTGTTAAAAAAAAATTTACACATTTGGATGCAATAAATATTTTGTTTTTTGTAGATACAAAATTGTTGTTGTCGTAACTATAGTGGAAAAGGAAAATCAGGGCATAACATCAACAATGGCATGTGTCTGGGATAGTCAAAGAGACAATTATGCTAAATATGTTTTGGAAACTCTTACTTTTATTGCCTATTGTTGCGTTTATGGAATTTATTGTGAATAATTATTATAAATATTAAATGTTTCTTTGAAAGCAATTTAAAATTTTGTCAATTTTATCTATTCAAGAAAAAAAGACATTTTTTTTTTCAAAAAAGGAAAAAGAACTTTTTACTTTATAATTAATAATATTTAAGAAACCAATAAATGAAGAAAAGGACAATTAATTTATCTTTACTTGTTTCAAATAAATTTTATTTGCTTTAAGTAAAGTTCATTTGGTTTAAATGAATTTTATTTTGTTCAAATAAAATTTATTTGATTCACTTAAATTTTATTTAGTTCAAATAAAATTTATTTGATTCACATAAATTTTATTTGGTTCAAATGAAAATTATACTTGAATCCAAAAAATTGTTTATTTAAAACAAATAAATAATTTAGTACATAGCTTCTGAGACAAAATATACTTTTATTTATGTCAAAATAAATTATTATATTTGATTTGACTAACAAATTTTTTTTGTGTATAAAAATAGTTACAGAAAAATTACAAAAATAATTCAATATCTCCATATGTTGAATAAATATTTACGATAAAAAAAATTCATGAAGAAAATATGTATTTTTTATTGACTGAAATGTCCAAAAAAATTCTTATCTAGTAAAATTCATTTTTAAAGTGTACTTAAATTGTTGCGTTTTGACAAAACAATTAAAATTTTTTTTGATAAAAAAATGTGTTTTTTAAAATGAATTTAAATGGGAATTTTTCTTTTTCATTTATTCTATTAAAAGTAATTGGTGGAGCAGGTTTTCAAAATGGTAAATCCATCTTTTTTTAAAGTTAAATATCTATTTTTTTATTTATATTTTAAGCACTATAATTATTAATTAAATTATTAATTATTATTTAAATATTAAATATTAAATATTAAATATATTAATATTAAAATTATTAATTAAAAAAAAAATATTCCATTGGTAATGAAAAGAATTATTTTTTTTATAATTACATTTTTTGTTTCCTACTAGTTTGCGCAAAACAATGTATTGTATCACAATTTTTTTGACACTATTGGCATGTATTGTCACTGCTGAAGAATCACACCACTGTCATGCAAATGATGACAATCCCTACTTACATTTTGGTACAAAATCTGCCTATAATTTTATGCATGGAGAATTGAAAACTCAACAAAGTAAGTATAATTTTTTATTTGAAATTTTAAAATTCTACTCTATATGTATTTATTTACTTTTTTGTTTAATAATTCATTTATTCAAAAAATAATTGATTTATTAATTAATTAATTAAATTATTTCTTTCTTTAATAATTAAATTATTTATTTACTTACTTATTTAGTAATTTATTTATTCAACTACTTGTTTGTTTATTTAACTTAATTCTTTAATTGCTTATTTCCTTAATAATTGATTTACTTATTCATTCATTTAACTATACTTGTTTATTTATTTTATTTATTTTTTTAAAATATAAATTTTCTTAATAATTAATTAATTAATTAATTAATTTAAATATTTATAATTTTAAGTACTTATTTCCTTAATAATTCAATTATTTATTTACTTACTTATTTATTTAACAATTTATTCATTTATTTATTTAACTAATTGTTTGTTTATTTAACTTATTCCTTTAATTGCTTGTTTATTTATTTAATTTATTTCTTTAATTGATTATTCCCTTAATAATTGATTTATTCATTTATTTGTTTACTAATTTAATTATTTATTTCCTTGTTTAAAAAAAATTTATTTATTCATTTAATCATATATTTATCAGAAAATATTCATTGATAAAATTATAATTCAATTTCTCCACTTGAGAACGCCAAGGTCGCAACCAGATGGCGAGAAATCTGATTTCATCAACCGAACTGCCATCTGACGGTGGCCTTGGCGTTCGCAGGTGAAGAGTAGTATCTCTACAATGAACTTCAAATATTAATATTAAATAAATAAAACAAATTAAACAAAATAAATTAATATTAATTAATAATTATTAAAAAATGTAATATATTTTCAGATTGTAGACCAATTCAACTTTTTGTTGTTGTGAGACATGGAACACGTTACCCTGATTTAGATCAGATTCCAAATATGCAAAAATTATTAATTCTTCGTGATGAAATTATTTCCAATCACAGAGAAAAGCAAAGTGAGTTTAAAAAAATATAAACAATTATTTGGGTAATTATTTTAAGCAATAAATTATTATTATTATTATTTCAGTGGGACATCTTTGTGAAAGTGATTTGAAAAATTTAGAGAACTGGAAATTGGATGATAATGTCACGGACAATATGACAGAACTTTTAACACCGCAGGGAGAAAATGATTTAAAGGGATTGGCACTACGATTAAAGGCAGCTTTTCCAGAACTTTTAACAACAATTAATAATAGTAGTACGAACGATTATGTGGTAGGTTGAAGAAGATAATTTTTTTAATTAACTATTTATTTATTTAGCAATTTATTTATACATTTAACTAAATAGCTATTTATTTATTTATTTACCTATTTATTTAGTAATTTATTTATGCATTTGACTAATTAGCTATTTATTTATTCATTTAATTATTTAAATCACAATAACATTTTTTGCATTTTATTAATTATAAAAAAATTTTTGAGAGATAAAACTGTGGTTTTGATTTCTCCACCTGAGAACGCCAAGGTCGCCACCAGGTGGCGAGGAATCTGATTTTATCAACAGAATTGACATCTGGCGGTGACCTTGGCGTTCGCAGGTGGAGATTTGCATCTCCATTTTGAGATTAATTGTAGTATTAACGAAAAAATAATAAATTAAAAAATAATATTAGACAATAATATTAGGAAGTAACAAAAATAAGACACAACGAAAAGTAATAATTGAAAAAAAGTAGGAAAAAGAATAATTAAAAAACATAATAAAAATAGGAAGAAAAATTAAAAAGCAATAAAAATATGGGGAAAAATATAATAAAAATAGGAAGAAATATTAAAAAGCAATAAAAATATGGGGAAAAATATAATAAAAATAGGAAAAATAATAATTAAGAAAAAATAAATAAGAAAAAATCATAGAAGTAGAAAAAATATATATTCAGAAAAAAATTGTTCTTCAGTTCAGGTCAACTAAAACTCAACGAACGGAAAAAAGTATGTCATCATTTATCGAGAGATTATTCGGTAATAAAAATGCAGTAACACCGGAAAATGTGCCTAACAACGATACCTTATTACGAGTAAGAAAAAAAAAATTTCTTTTTTTATTTTTCAATAATTTTTTTGTTTGTTTTAAATTAACAAAAATTTGTCGTACTTTATACAAAAATTAAAAACAATGTCAATTTATGACAATAATTTTTATTTCCCACAAGGCAAATAAGCAATGTGTCCCAATGAGAAAAGAAGTCAGACGAAATATATTTACCGCTGAGCGTAATAAATTTGATAATGAACCAGAGATGAAAAATTTAATTCACAACGTTAGTCGTCGACTTGGTTTTCAAAACAATATCACCCTGGGTATAAAAATCGACATTTAGATTATTTATAATTATATATTAGTTTTATATTAAATAAAAATTTATTATGTAAATAATTAAAATCTGTTACAGATTCAGTGATTTCAATGTACGATATGTGTAGATTTGAAAAAGCTTGGAATGTGGATAAAATTTCTCCATGGTGTGCCGTATTCAGCAAACAAGAATTTATTGTTCTTGAATTTAGAGAGGATTTATATTATTACTATTATGTCGGACCTGGTAACAGGAGAAATGCTATACTCGGATGTCCACTTATGAAGGACTTGTTTCAACACTTTCGGTATAAAAAAAAAAAATTGCACTTTAACAAAAGCTCAAAAATTTTAAAAAGTTATTTCAAAATTTAATAATTTTGAAATAAGTTTTTAATTTATTTCAATTACTGTTTATTACAAAAATTATTCTACAGAAAATTGGAAGGAAATGATTTTAATCAAGAGCCAAAGGGGATTTTTTACTTTGCACATACAGCGACTCTTCAACCTTTACTGACAGCTTTGGGATTTAATAATGGTTCTCAGCCACTATTGGCCACTAATTTTCAAGAATCAAAAGAACGTCAGTGGAGAACATCGTTTATTGGCCCGTTTGCAACTAATTTGGTTGCTGCCTTTTACAAGTAAATTTATAAAAAAAAAAAAAATAAATTTAAAACATTTATTGCTTTTTCATGAATATTAAGGGAATTTGAACCATTATGACGTCACAGATTAGAACAAATGCTTTGAACAAACTGTGACGTCATAATGGTTCAAATGCCCTTAAACTTTTAAAAATTTTTGAAAATAAGACTTTTTTAAAAAATTTTGTTAAAAAAATAACAAATAACTTGTAGAACTTTAAAAATCGCTTTGATTCACTTATTTTTAGAATATTCGTATTCGATCAGAAATTACGAAATTATTTTTATTTTAAAAACCAAAAATTAGGAAAAATATCATTTTCAAAATTTATAGTTAAAATAATTTTATAAAAGCAGAAGTGTTTAATGTAATAAACATTTATGTGATAATAAAAAATAAAATAAATTGATCGAAAAAATATCCATAATAAGGAAGCAAAGTGTTCATGAAATGAACACACTTTTAACTTGGCAGCGGTTTTATATTTTATTTTTTAATCATATTTTTATTTATTTTTTAAAAAATAAATTTTTTGAATGTTATTGTACATTTAAAATTTGTTCTTTCAAAGGTGCAAAAACGATAATTCAACAAATGTGCAAAACAAAGTGGTGTTCCATTGGGCAGAGAGATTAGTGAAATATGATGGTTGCACTCAAGGACTATGCAATTGGGAATACATAAATGATAAACTTGGCAAAAAAGCTGACGATTGTAATATGGATTTCTGCTTTAATGCAACTAAACTTGCGAAATAATGTTCTTGAATGATATTCTTTAATAATATTTTTAAATTTATAATCGTAAAATAAAAAGTTCAGAAGCTGAAATTTTTACATTTTTTTGCAGTGTGTGTTAATAATTCGAAAACAGAAAAATGACGTTTTCGATTTTCAATAAATTGTGAAAATAAATATTTATATGAATATTGAGGAACATGTGTTTTCTATATGTATGTATACAGTTGTTTTATTGCATAAATTTTATCTATCTACGAAAATTTTATCCGGAAAATTTTCATTTTCAAATATTTTCTCCAATTATTTACAGAGTTCTGTAATTCGTTAATGCACAGGAAAAAACTTTTGCATAAATGTCGATCTACATTTTTAAAAAGAGAAATAATTATAATAATAAGAAAATCTTTTGAAGAAAAAATAAACATGTCACTGAAATTAGCGTCGAGAACTATTATTTGAGGCTTTTTACAAAAATGTCACTAAATTCACTTCTTTATTCACCTAGGGAGTTAAAAACAATTCGAGAGTAATTTTTTAAATCTGAAAACTTAGAAAAAAATATTTTATACTTTTCGGTTTCGTAAAAAAAATGTTCTTGACGCTCAGCGTTGACGCTAACTTCAGGGATTTAAATAATAAAATAGTAAATAAATTACTAAAGGGAAAATTAAAAATATACTAAATAAATCACTCTGAAGAAAAAATAAAAAAATACTAAATAAATTACTAAAGGAAAAGTAAATATTTAATAAATTATACTAATGAAAGAATAAACAAATAATTAGAAAATTACTAAAGAAAAAATAAATAAATATAAATATATATTATAAATATTATAAATAATGTAAATAAAAAAATGGAAAAAATAAAAAAAATCCAAAAGATGATAACAAAAATAAATTTATTACTTTTGTACGAGTTAAAATTAAGAATGAAAATAATTTTCTCGCGACAGTATTTATTTATAAAAAATAGAAAAAAAGAAAATTGAGCAAAGTTTACCATTAACGGGAAAGAGAGAAGAAAATTGCAACTACAAACTATTAAATAAGAGAGGCGATAGAGTGGGTTTTGAAACAAGTGAAGTTGTTTCATACCTGCCACTCACTGTAAGTTCAGACTCAAATGAAATAAGATGCATTGATAGTTGCAGTGATATAAAATAAAAGTTAATTTCATTTTTCAAATATAATATTTAAATCTCTCCCCCCTATTTTTCAATAAAACAATACAAACATTTTTTTCGTCATTATTTTCTTTCTTGTATTCGGCTTGTCCCGAATACAAGAACGATTATTCTTTCGTGTGTTTCAATTTAAGAGGAAGAAGAAAAAGGATTACTTGCAACGATAAAGGTGAGAAAAAAGAACTTATTTTTCGAAATTTTTTTTAATAAATTTTACATTAGTTTTATTTTTTAAGAAGTTTTAAATTTTTCTATTATTTTATGTTTTTATTTTAAACTTTTGTTTTCTTATAATTTTATTTTCTATTTTCTTCTCTTTTTTCTATTTTATTTCTTGAATTTTTATTTTCAATTTTTTCTATTTTATTTCTAAATATTCTTATTTTATATTATTAAATTTTTATTTGTTTCTATTTTATTTCTTAAATAATTTTCCATTTTCTCTATTTCATTTCTTGAATTTTTCTTTTCTATTTTTTCTATTTTATTTCTTCAATTTTTATTTTCTATTCTTTCTATTTTATTGCTAGAATTTTGATTTTCTATTATTTCAATAATCAGATTAATTTTATTATTAAAATTATTATTGAAAATTTCTTAAAATTGTCATATTATAAAACAATAGTTATCAATTTTTCTGCATACAATGAAGGAAAGCTTCAAAATAATTTCAAAAATAAAAATAAGAATATAAAAGAAGTAAAAAATTGACGAAAATTAAATATACAAAATTTAATTTATTAAAATACTTATTAAAATTATTTTCCTATTTTTGAAAATTAGAAAGAAAATAAATGAGGGAAAAAATTGTTGCAAATTAAAAAAAAAAATTTTAAATATTAAAAATTTATTTATTTACAAAGTTTTGCGTTCGAATAAAAAGTCATTGCACTCGAAAAAATTGATTTCTATCATTTAAAATGGGTTTGGTCAGGAAATTGAGATTTTTTTTTTGAATTAATGTCAGTCATTAACAAAGTGTGGGTTATGTTGCTAGTGAACTCATTCTTCGTTATTTTTATCCAAAGTTCGAAGACTGACATTTTCACACTCTAAATAATAATCTTCATTAAAATATAAAATTTATATTATTAATATTTATTATATTAATATTATATTAATATTACTATAATTACCTGTAATTACTAATTTATAACTAATTGTTTACTAAATTCATCAATTACTATTTTTAATTAATTTTTTAAATATTATATTGTCATAATAATTAATTTTTTTCTATTATCATAATTATTAATTAATAATTTTCAATTTATTTTTTTACACTTTTATTATAATGATTATTACGTTAAGATTACTTTTTTACTAACTAACTATAGTTAGTTAGTAAAAAAGTAATTAAAAGTAAATTAATAATTTAATAATTTAATTTAATTTAATTATTTTAATTAAAGTAATTATAATTACAAATTTTTCTAATGATAATAATTTTATTAATTTAATTAATTATTATTTACTAATTAGTTTTACATGATTTTTTCAATTATTATTATTCATAATTAATGCAGTTCTTAATATATTATATACTTATTATTTAAAAATGTATTAGTTTTTTCAATTAGTTTCGAAATAGTTAATTTTTTCCAAAAGTATATAAACTTTTATTGAATAAATTAATAAAAAAAAACAAATTATTAAAAAAATAAATTAATACAAAAAATAAATTTAGAAAAAAAATTAATGAATTCAGTTACTTATAAAATGTGATGAATTTCGTAGTAAAAATATTTAATAAAATAAAAAAGATTATTTAATTCAAAAAGAGAAGTGTAATTTTGAAGAAATTACACTTCAGTAATAAATAAATTTAATTTAAAAAAAATGTAAGTATTTTTGTTGTAAGATAAAAAGTTTGAGAATTGAAAGAAGAGTTATTAACCTTAAGGATTATTTAATAACTTTTTTTTGTTATCTATGCTCATGTATTTTAGTTTATCAAAGAAAATATGCGTCACTAAATGAGTTCTCTACTCTACAATATATGCACCTTATTTGCGAACGAACTATTATTGAATAAAAGAGAAAATTTCACGTGTCAAATTCTTCCCATTTCAAGAATAGTTTCAAATCTAAAGTACTTGAACTTTATATGTCCGTGTAATTATAACAATTAGAATTTTAATTTCATAATTATAAATTATTGCCGCGAATAAATGAATTATTACCACGTTAAAAAGCAAGTGTTTAAAAAAATAATATACATACACTGAAAGAAAAAATTATTTCATTTAAATAACCGATTACTTGCATGTGACTATTATTAAATATTTTTATTAAATAGTAAATTAAATATTTACTTGAATCAAATAATCTTTATTTGAATCCATTAAATGATATTTGCTTCAAATACTGAAATTATTGGTTCAAAACAATTTCACTGGATTTAAATAAAAATTATTTGATTTAAGTAAATATTTAATCGATAATAGTCAAGTAATCGATTATTTAATTCAAATAAATTTTTTTTCAGTGTATTATGTTCCGTTCATTACTTAAGTAAATAAATATTTATTAGTCATAAAAATATAATCTTTAAAATTTATAACAAAAAATTCTAATCATTAAAATAAGAAATTTAAATAACAAATATTTATTACACTTCGATCATGTCTTTCGTTTTTCAACATGTAAAATAAAAAAAAAAGTATTTTAAAAAAATTACAAAAAACAAAAATAAAAAAAGTAACGAAAAAACATAAAAAACATAAAAAAAAGTATTTTAAAAAAATTAAAAAAAACAAAAATAAAAAAGTAACGAAAAAACATAAAAATGAAACTTTTTATTAAAAAAAAATTGAAGAAATTTTATTCTTTCGGAAATATATTACATTTTTATGTTTAAAAAAATTTTTAATTCAAATTATTATGAATGAAAGGTACATGAAGGTAGACGTAACTTTATAGGTGGGTCAACGAGTCATGTAATATTGTTACAGTTGGTCGATTCAACTCAAAGCCGTTGAAAGTGACAGTTGTAAAAAAAAAAAAAAAAAAATGAGAAAAGATATACGTTTCTTTTTAAAGATGCATTAGAAAATGTTCAGATAATGTGTCTTTTTTTTTAAATGAAAATGCGGATGTACCTTGATTTCAATGAGCCTTTCTCTTTTATTCGCCAATAAAATGATATAGAGTTAATCAATAAAATAATTATTTTAGATAATATTGACATGAATTTAGAAATATAGTTGCAAGAATTTTTATTTTTATTACTTCTATTTTTATTGTTATTAATTTTTTTATTATTATTTGTATTTGTACTTTTATTATTATTATTATTATAGTATTTTCCTTATTATTATCAGTAATGCAATTATTATTTGTGATAATCACTAATAATTAACAATTATTATAAACCATAATATTAATAACAATTATCGTAAACAATATTAATAATAACTCAATTATTCTTAATATCATTATTCATAATACAATTATTGTTGACATTATTATTAATAACACAATTAATACTAATATTAATACGAATAACACAATTTTTTTTTTTTTTTTTTGCAAAACTTTTTAACACAATTATAAGTTATTAATAACCACTAGTTACTTATACACTGAAAATGAACAATTAATAATCAATTCAACAATTATTATTTATTATTCAATAATAAATTATTTTTTTCTTCACTATTTACCGTTTTCTTGTTTTTTCTTTTTTAATTTAATAATTAATTTCATGACCTATTATTTCCAGGCGACAATTTTTCTCTACGATTGAAATATTATAAATATTGAACTTGCATGATTTTTTTATTTTCTGAATAATATTGTCCTAGTTTAGCTATTATTATATTTCAAGGATATAGAATTGAATAAACGTTCGAAATTTATTTTGTTTTCTATATAAATTTGAGAATTAAATCAAATAATCATAGTGGAAAATCTTTTGAATTATGTAATGAGTATATTCTATTTACAGCAGTGACCATCAAATCGCAAGAATTCTTACGTGCATCATATACCAGGAAACTGCATAAATTAAATAATTCTGATGTCCCATATTTTTTTTTCCATGATAAGAATGTCTATTTGTTATGGAACATTAAAAGTTTGTCATTGAATTCGCATGATTGTTGCGTGAGCGGTAATTTATATTATAGAAAATTGGTTCATATATTAGGAATTTAATTAATTAAACTTCGAATAAATTTTAATAAAAATAAATAGAAAAAATTTTTTTAAATTAAAAAAAAATTTGAAAAATAAAAGAATAATGAGTGAATAATAATAATAATAATAATAATAATAATAATAATAATAATAATAATAATAATAATAATAATAATAAAAAAAATAATAGTTTTAATTTTAAATATTAAATAAATAAATATTTAAATAATATTAATAAATTATTAAAGATTCGTTATTTTTAATTGTAAAAAATTATTTTGCAATAAAAATCAAATTGAGAGAATTAAAAAATAATTATTCTTGCTTCTTTTTCAGATCGTGTAAACAAAAATGTATTGTATCACAATATTTCTAACATTATTGGCATGTCTTGTCACTGCTCGAGAATCTGATTACTGCCTTGCTGATGATGACAATCCCTATTTATATTTCGCTACAAAATCTGCCTATAATTTTATGCACGGAGAATTCAAACCTGAACGAAGTGAGAATGATTCTAATTTTTCATTAGGAAATTAAATTTAAAAAAATAAAATTTCTAAAATTTAATATAATTAATTAATTACAAATATACTTTTTAGATTGCAGGCCAGTTCAACTTTTTGTTGTCTCAAGGCATGGAACACGTTATCCAGGATCAAAATCAATTCCAAAAATGAAAATACTGTACAAACTTCGTGATCAAATTGTTTCTAATCATCTAGAACGAAGACGTGAGTTTGAAAGAAAATTCCAATTAATTTTCTTGTTTTTTGCTTTAAATTTAATATTTGGATTGTATAATAATAATAATAATAATAATAATAATAATTAAAACAAGTGGAAAAAAATACTAACAAATTTTAATTTTTCAAAGTTAAGTTCAACTTGGTCGAATAAATAAATAATTCAATAAATAAATAAATGAACGAACAAAATAAATAAATAACATTTCTGAATTAATTTCTACTTTTTCAAATAAGTAAATATGCAAATAAATAACTAAATATAAATAAATAAATAAAATAAATGACTAAATAGACAAATAGATAAACAAATAAATAACTAAATAAAAAAATAATTAAATAAGCAAATAAATAACTAAATAAGAAAATAATTAAATAAAAAAATAAACAACTAAATAAATAAGCAAATAAAATAGAAATATAAATAATAGAATACAAATAAAATTTACAGCATAATTAAGAAATAAAACTAAAACTAAACATAGTTAGATAGCATAGAAAAATTTTGTCTACAAAGAGAAAAACAAATTCGTTTCTCTCTTCAGGTGTACAAAGTATGAAATTTAATATGGTGTTTAAAATGAATTTTTACGTGTATTGCTTTCAAGTATAGATTTTATACAGATAGTGGACTCGATACTTATTTCCTTTAAACTCGCGGGTGACATAATAAGTATTTGTAAGCATAGAGTGCATTCTCGCATGTTTTATGCGTTAAGAAAAGTGGGTCAATATATATAAACACTGTAAGAAAAGCATAGTTGCATACACCAAGAAACTAATCAACTTACGTCATTTTACACACACACTTTACACATGAATGTAATTTTCAATACGGAAATTGTCAACTCTCATACAGTAATTAACCATTTAACAGCAATATGTTAAAATTTGCAACTTTGCATAAAGAAAGTTTAGAATACACTTCCTTGTATATAATTATAGTTATCTGCTAACTTTGCTATTCTTTTGAAAAATCAGTATTGTCAACAACTATATCATTAAATTTGGAAAAGATAACAAACTTTTTTCTCTTACAGTGGGACACCTCTGTGATTATGATTTGGAAAATTTTCAAAATTGGAAATTAGATGACAATGTCAGGGAAGATATGGCAGATTTTCTAACACCCCAAGGAGAAACAGATTTAAAGGGATTGGCTGTTAGATTGAGAGCTGCTTTTCCAGAACTTTTGACACCAACTGATTACAATAGTATGCATAATTACGTGGTACGTACAACTATATATACAGATAATTTATCACTGCAAAATTTTCTATACTATTTTTGTTTTTCAAAATTAATTTTCACAAAATAATTTTTTCGAAAAAAAAAAATTTTTTTTTTTGATTTTAATTTAGCAAATTGTTCTAGTTCAGGTCGACTAAAACTCAACGAACAGAAGAAAGTATGAGGGCATTTATAGAGGGATTATTTGGTGGTAGAAATTCAGTAATACCAGAAATAGCACCTAATAATGATACTTTATTACGGGTAAGAATATTTGCAACACATTTTTTTTTTATTTTACTTCAGCAGTAATTATTTGATAAAATGTCAAGTAAAACAAATAAAAATAAACAATTCCGGAGTAATTAGTTGATAAATTATCAAGAAAAATTTAAAAAAGAAATAAAAAATAAAACACTGTGAATGAAAATTAGAAAATTTGTTAATGTTTCCATTTTAGGCAAACAAAGAATGTCCTTCATGGGAAGAAGAAACGGAAAGTTTTAAATATCTCGAGGAACGTAATAAATTTAACAATGGACCAGAGATGCAAAATTTATTTTACAACGTCAGTCGTCGACTTGGTTTTCGAGAGAATATCACTCTGGGTATTGAATATTATCATACATTAGAATTTTTAAATACTTATTTAAGAAAAAATTTATTTTTTAAAAATTTTTCACTAAAATTCTTCTATAAATCAATTAATTTTCGAATAAGTTCTTCGAAAATATTTTCAAATCCATTTGTTTACAATATTCAATTTTACGATTTTTAATTGTTCGTAAATTCTTCAATTTAATATATATATATTAGAAAATAAAAACTTCAAATAATATAAAAAAATTCAATTACACTTTATCAAGAAAATTTCAAAATTCAATTCTCACAAAGAATTTTATCATCATATTTTAAAAATAGTTGAAATTTTGCAGAGAATTTTTTAAAATTTATAAAAATAATTGAATTTCGGAGAATAATTTTATTATTTGTAAAGATATTTGAAATTTTGATGAGAATTTGAAAAAAAATTTTTATCATAATTGAATTTTTGAGAAGAATTTTATTACTTTTGAAAATAATTGAATTTCTGCAATAATTTGTAACTTCAAAATTAAATTTTCTTTTAGTGTTTTTAACTAAAATTTTTCTACAAATCCATTATTTTTAATATAATTTTTGAAAAAGTTTTTTGAGAATTTTCAAATTCATTTGTTATTAACTGAAATTCATTTTTAAATCAATTTTTATTAGAAAATTCTACTAGAATTCAATTATTTAAATACAAAACAATAATTTATTAAATATTTGACTGTTTCTTCAAAATTGAATTTTCATAAAGAATTTTATCAACAAATTTTTAAATATATTTAAAAGAATTTATCACTTGGTAAAAAATTATATAATTCGAAATAAAAGGAATTTATCAATCTTCCAAGTCAAAAACTTGGAAGAACTTGGTTTTTTGACTTGGAAGATTGATAAATTCCTTTTATTTCGAATTATCAAATTTTTAAATAATTGAATTCGTTTGACGAATTTTAATAAACTTTTTAAGAATAATTACATTTTTCGAGGAATTCGATTAAAAATTGTATTAAAAATAATTAAAATTTTTGCGATGAGTTTTATTATTTATGAAAATAATTGAATTCTTGTAAAAAGTTTTATTATAGAAATTTATATAAAATTTGAAAATAATCAAATTCTTGTGAAATTTTTATTTTTCATCAAAATAATTAAATCTTTGTCAAGAATTTTATTAAAAATTTTTTAAATTATTGAATTTTGTAGAAGAATTTTATTATTTTTAAAAATATTTGAAACTTTGACGAGAATTTTTAAAAATTAAAAAAATTTTTTTTTGTAAATAATTGAATTTTTGTGAAATTTTTATTATTTATCAAAATAAGTAAATGTTTGCATAGAATTTTATCAAATTTTTTTTAATTAATTGAATTTCTTTTGGAAAATTTGAATAAAATAGTATGGATATTAAAAATTATTGAATTAAGGAAAATTTTTGAAAATAATTCAAATTTTGGCAAGTATTTTATTAACATTTTTTATAATAATTGAATTTCGGAAACAAATTTTATTATTATTTATTTTGACGAAAATTTAAAAAATTTTTTTAACATAATTGAATTTTTGCGAAAAATTTTATTACTTTTAAAAATAATTGAATTCTCATAAAGAATTTTATCAACAAATTTTTAAATAAATGAATTCGTTTGACGAATTTTAATAAAAATTTTAATAATAATTACATTTATCGAGGAATTCGATTAAAATTTTATTATAAAAATAATTGAAATTCTGCGTTGAGTTTTACTATTTACCAAATTATTGAATTATACTGAAAGGAATTTTATTATTAAGAAAAATAATTGAACCCCTTTAAAAATGTTATTATTTAGAAATATAATTGAATTATATTGCGAAGAAATTTGTAAATAATTGAATTTTTGTGAAATTATTATTATTTTATGAAAATAATTAAATGTTTGCGTAGAATTTAATAAAAAAATTTTTAAGTAATTGAATTCTTTTGAAAAATTTTATTGCAATAATAGATATTAAAAATCATTGAATTGAAGAAAATTTTTGAAAATAATTGAATTTCAGATAAGAATTTTATTATTATTTATAAAAATAATTGAATTTCAGATAAGAATTTTATTATTATTTATAAAAATAATTGAAATTTTGACAAGAATTTAAAAAAAATTTTTGAACATAATTGAATTTTTGCGAAGAATTTGATTACTTTTTTGAAAATAAATGAATTTATGCAATCATTTAAAAATCTATTGCAGATTCAGTGAATTCAATGTACGATATGTGCAGATTTGAGAAAGCCTGGCGGATAGATAAAGTTTCACCATGGTGTGCAGCATTCAGCAAATGGGAACTCAGAATTCTTGAATTCAGAGAGGATTTAGATTACTACTATTATGTTGGACCTGGTCGGGAAACAAACGTTAAACTCGGATGTCCACTCATGAAGGACATGTTTCATCACTTCCGGTAAGCATTGAAATCCATACAGTAAAATATTAGATACAGTCAACTCTCGATAAATCGAACCTCAAGAGATTTAGGGAAAAATTCAAATTATCTCAAGTGTTTTATTTATCGCAAATATTTTAAGTATAAAAATTTTTCCAAAGAATAATCTGAAACCTCAACTTTAATTTATTGAGAAATTCAATTTATCGAGAGTTGACTGTAATTACATAATTACATTTCATACATGGATTTTCTGTCCCTTGGAACTTTAGATTTGGACATTTTGTACTGTAATCATTCTACTTGATTAATTTTAATTAATTTAATTTAATTAATTTAATTTAATTACTCATTTAATTTAATTTATGAATATTAATATTATAATTGAAGTTTCCCTAAAGTATCGAATGTGCGAAAATTCTTTTTCAGAAAACTGGAAGGCGATGATTATTATCAAGAGCCAAAGGGCATTTTTTACTTTGCGCACACAGTGACCCTTCAAACTTTACTCGCGGCTTTGGGATTTAATGACGATCCTCAGCCTCTATTGGCCACTAATTTTAAATCATCGGCAGGACGTCACTGGAGAACGTCATTTATTGGTCCGTTCGCCACTAATTTAGTAGCTGTCTTTTACAAGTGAGTTTAAAAAAGAAAGAAAAATTTTAAGTAAGTTTAACAATAGTAAAACAATAATAAACAATAATATAATAATAAAAATGAAAATAATAATAAAAATAATAATAATAATAATAATAATAATAATAATAATAATAATAATATTAATAATAATAATAATAATAATAATAATAATAATAATAATAATAATTAGTAATGAAGTTAACAGTAGCCAATTATAATATAATAATAACACGAATACAGTCAACTCGCGATAAAATTAAAATTGGTTTCTGGTCCCTTGAAAAAATTTTTTCATAACGCGGTGCAAAAAAGGGCACTTTTTTGCACCTTGTTATGAAAAATATCGTTCGTAACTAGTGCTAGCAGTTGCCAATTTTTGAACGAGCACTTTTTTTGGAACAAACTGTAGGCGAAGCTTCGCTTCGCCTATAATTTGTTCCAAAAAAAGTGCTCATTCAAAAATTGACAACTGCTCGCACTCGTTACGAAATATACTATGATACAGTCAACTCTCGATAAATTAAACTTTAAGGGACCTAGAAAAAAATTAGAATTCTCGAGGGTTTTATTTATCGAATTTTTAAAATACAGTTAACTCTCGATAATTAAACTTTCCATTTATTTTAATTTCTCAATAAATTGAAATTGATTGCTGATTCCTTAAAAAAATGTTGACACTTAAAATATTCGATAAAATAAAAACCCTCGATAATTTAAATTTTTCCCTAGGTTCCTTAAGATTTAAATTATCGAGAATTGACTGTATCAAAATTTTTTCAAGCGACCAGAAACCAATTTCAATTTATTGAGAAAATTCAATTTATCGAAAGTTTAATAATTATTGAGAGTTGACTGCGTTCTACATTTAATAAGTAAAACTCTTGATAATTTTAATTTTTCCCCAAGTTCCGTAAGGTTTAATTTATCGAGAGTTGACTGTATCAAAATTTTTTCAAGGAACCAGAAACCAATTTCAATTTATTGAGAAATTCAAAATTTTATTGATAAATTATCCAAAGTTTAATTATTGAGAGTTGACTGTATCAAAATTCTTTTTAAGGGACCAGAAACGAATTTCAATTTATTGAGAAATTCAATTTATCGAAAGTTTAATTATTGAGAGTTGACTGCGTATTTAAAATATGCATAAAACTTTCGATAATTTGCAATTTTTCCTAAGGATCCTTGAAGTTTACTTTATCGAGAGTTGACTGTAGTAAAAATTTAATTCGATATAAATAAAACCCTCGATAATTTGAATTTTTCCCTAAGGACCCTTGAAGTTTATTTTATCGAGAGTTGACTGTAGTAATAAGTAATAATAATAATTATTAACATTAGAAATTAAAAAATATTGAAAAATTAATAAAATTTGTTTATTAACAGATGTAATGACTCAATGTCATCGAATGTGGTGAACAAAGTGATATTCCACTGGGCAGAGAGACTAGTGAGATATGAAGGTTGTAACGTGGGACTGTGCAATTGGGAATACATAAAAGATAGACTTGAGAGAAAAGCTAACGAATGTAACATGAATTTTTGCTTTAATGCAAGTGGACTTTCGAGATTATCCAATTTCAGTATTATTCACTTGGTACTTTCACTTTTCCTTCTTCTAGTCGGTCACAAACAAATACTTTTCTAAAAAAAAATTTTATATTTTTCTAAGGAAAAGTATTTTTGTTCATATTTTTCTCTATAAGGAAAGTACTGTTTATTTTTTAATTACATATTAAATAATCAAATTGTTTTCTATTTTTAAATCTCAGGAAAGATCTGATTAACATATTTTTTGTTAAGCTTGTAAATATCTTTTTTGCTATACGTAGAAAGCCAAATGTTTATGATCTAATTTTTTACGTTGATAATTCTTAAAAAATTGATTACAAAATTTTTTTTATGTAATTGTTTATTTAAGAACAGAATTCTTTTTTATTTAATTTAATTCTTAAAAATTTCTTTTATGTAATTACATGTATGAGTATAGAAATCGAAATTATCAAATTTTTTAAAATTTTTTCTATTTTTTGAATTTATTTGTAAATTTATTTATTTATAAATTGATCACTTAATTGCATAATTAAATGTTGCAAAAAATTGCAAAAGACGTAAAAATCTATTTGTACATAATAATTGATTATAATGTTGAATGCGTATTATAACGTTGCCAAAAAATTGCAAAAAATGTGAAAATTTATTTAATTATAAATTAATTACAATGCGAACTGTGTATTACAATGTTGCGAAAAATTGCAATAAAAAGAGCAGCATTGAAACGTTAGATTGGAGCAGAAATTAAATTCAATTATAAATTTAAAGTTAGTAATTTTTAGTAATTAATAAAATTAATAAAAAAAATTAATTGTAATTATTATTAATTATTAATTACTATAAATATAATAAGTGTTTTTAAAATAGAAAATATTTGAAAGAAAATCGCTTTCTGCTCCGATCTACCTCAATTTAAAATTAATTTTCGTTTGAAGAACTGATATTATTATAATTAATATTGACTAATGTTCGATTATTGTTGTAAACTGACATAATAAAATGAAGAAAAATTTTATTATCGATAAAATTGTATATCTCACTTACCATTCGTCTCCGATGAAATTGTTGAGCCGAGCATCACTAGAGAGCGCCAAAATTCCCATTTTGGTTCGAGTTCTAAAACAAATTAAAAGAATATTAAAAGAATATTTTAGAATATTAAAAATTAAAGTCATTTTTCTAAATTTAATATTTTCGAAAAAATTTAAGTATGAGTAAAAAAATTTATTTATAAATAAAAAAATATAAAAATTTATTTATAAATAATAAGGTATAATAAAAGGGATAATTACAATTATAAATATATATTTTTTTATTATTTTAAACCAATAATTTCAATAATTTGAGACAAATACAATTTAATTGACTTTAAAAATTAAATAATTTTTAAAGACAATTAAATAAAAATTAAAATTATTAAATTTAATAAGCAAATAAAAATCATTTGATAGAAATAATAATTTTATTATAGCCAGAAGTAATCGTATATTTGAATCAAATAAATATTTATCTAAATCAAGTAAATTTTATTTGAACTAATAATTTTAATAATATAACCAATAATTTTATTATTATAACCAATAATTTCAATAATTTAAAGCAAATACAATTTAATTGATTTAAAAAAATATTGTTTAATGCAAATAAAAATCATTTGATAGAAATAATTATTTTATTTGACAAAAATAAACAAGTAATCGTATATTTGAACCAATAATTTTATTATTTTAACCAATAAGTTCAGTAATTTGAAGCCAATACAATTTAATTGGTTTGAATAAAACTATATTTAATGCGCAAATAAAACTTATTTGATAGAAATAATTATTTATCTAAATCAAATTTATTTTTTAATTAAATTAATTATTTGAATCTGTAATTTTAATATTTGAACCAAATAAATAATAATAAAGCAAATAAATATAATTGAAATCTTTAAACTAATCAAAAAAATTTCTTCAGATTTTGGTTATAATTTTTTCTAAAATTTGACAAATGAAATTAAATTTCACAATTAATTTCAAAAAAATAAATTAATGTTATTGTGTTTGAATCTGTTCGCAGTTTTAAGTTAGCTTTTGTTATAGCTTCTCAGTTCTCAATTTTTTTAAAATAAATTTTCTTTTTCAATGTTTTCAATTTTAAAAATTAATGCACTGAAAATTACTAAATTTTTGCAAAGTTTTTACTTTTTATCCAAAAATTTGAAAATATAGGTAATTAAAGTCATTTGACGAATTTTATCAAAAATTTTTTTTTCAAATAATTGAATTCTTTCGAGAAAATTTAATTAAAATTATATTGAAAATAATATTGAATTCTTGCAAAAAATATTATTATTTATAAAATAAGAATCGAATTATTTCAAAGAATTTTATTAAAATTATTGAAAATAATTTAATTTTTAACAAGAATTTTGTTACAAATTTTTTTAAATAATTTGAATCTTTTAGTGAAATTTTATTAAATTTTGTTTTGAAAATATGTAATTGAATTCCTGCGATGAATTTTACTTGTTTATAAAAATAATTGAATTCCCCCAAAGAATGTTTTATTAAAATTTTTCAAAATAACTTAATTCTTATCATTAAAAATTTTTAATAATAGATGTAAATGTTTTTTGGATTGAAAATTTTTGTTAAATAATTTAATTCTTGCGAAAAATGTTATCAACATTTTTGAAAATAATAAACAAGAATATAGTTATAATTATGTAGTTAAAAGGTGAATTTTTTAAATTTTGAATCTGAAATTATTCAAAAATTAATGTTTATATTTGAAGCTATAAAATTTTTTTCATTTGCAAAATATTAAATGGAACAGTAACATTTACGATAGTAATGAATAATTATTACATTTATTATTACAATCATAAGAATGTAAAGAACAAATATAATTTATCTTTAAAAATTGCTTTAATTTTCTTCAGATTTGAAAAAAAATCTTCCAATCTGTCAGCACTGATTATATACTATAAAGTATATAGAATACTATAAATTATATAGTATAAAATAAAGATATAGTATAAAAATTTATTCAAGTGAAAAATAAAAGTTTGAATCTGAATGTAGTGCGCGGGACAAACAATAGAGAAATCCCTGACGAGTTGGTGTTTGATTAAACAAAATTAATGTCGAGAGAAAGAAAAAAAGAGAAAAAGGGAGAAAAAGAGAGTATTCAAGTACCAGGGCGTGTGCACTTTGTCGAAAAGAAGCCGCGTGCCACAAGGAGAACCCCATTTGAATTTTACGATTTTCAGTTGTACACGATACGGCACTTCATCAGTACCAAAGCATATATTTCATCAGAGGTAAATAAATTTGCGCACATGCAAACAAATCAGTTCACACGCATGATCGCATTTCACTATTGAAACCAGTTAATATCATTATATAGCTCGGATTAGTCGTTGGGAATATTTTTGATTTCCAGGTGACATCTAGCATTCTCCAGGGACCTCTTCTCAATAAATTTTTTTTTTTTTGTTTGACTCTCAAAAACCGTTTTTATCCAACCCCAAATAAATACAGATGAACAATAATTCTATACAAGGGAAAATAATTAATTTTAATTAATTAATTAAATAAAAATACTATTTCTTTTTATGGCCAAGAAATACCCTTCAAAGCTGGTACAATTTCTTATAGAAATTAATGCAAATTATGTCCGCCATATTGGATCCGCCATTTTGAATTTTATGAAATTGACAAATTTCATAAAATCCAAAATGGCGGATCCAACATGGCGGACAGAATTTACATTTCTTCAAGAAAGATGAGCGTTAAATAAATTTTAATTTTTGACAATTGAATATTTGAATGCATTTAAGCATTCAAATATTCAATTGTCAAAAATTAAAATTATCAAAACCGTCATGCACGTTATTGGATTAAAAACAAAAATTTTTACACTTCGAAGTGTAAATTTTTAATTTGTCAATAACTATATAATTTTTACTAAAAACTTGTACTATTTATAAGAAGGGCAAGCATAGTTTTATTGAAAGTATCAAATTGATACCAAAAAATTTAGATCTAATTTTAATTCGATCCATACATTTTCGGTATCAATTCGTAGCCATATGATACTTTTAAATTAGCGAGTGAAAGTAAAACCTAAAACCTCCTGAGCATTTTTACTTTTTTTGTGAATTTTTACTATATATTTTCAGAAAGTAAATTTTACACCAACTATAAAAAAATTTAACTCATTTTCATTAAAATTTATATGTACACTTTCTAAATCCGAAATAGTAAAATTTTAATTAGTAAAAATGTTTACTTTTTAATAATTTTGGTTCTGAGAAGTAAACAGTTCGTATATATATAGTAAAAAAATTGACAATACGAAAATTATTTTATTAGCATTGTTTCGTGTATTTTATATTATGAAAGCTAATAATTAAGAAAAGAGTCATCACTCAATAGAAACAGAAACAAAAAAGTAAGTAATAAACTAATAACTTGAAATTATGATATTAAAGGGATCGAAACCATGTCGTAAACACTAAAATGAACGCACACAGTAATAGATCGACGAGACTTTATTAATTGCGGTAATTTATGTTGTGGATCAAATGCAAGAAGCTCATTTCATAATGACCCATCATCAATAACTTTATCAAATGCTTTAGTAACATTCAGTATATAAATCACTCCAGACTGTAATCATTTCAAACATCATAAATGCATTTCCCGCGTGTAAATTAATAAAATTTCTTCTACTCCATACTTCTTTTAACAATAAATATTTATTTTCTATACTCTCTAAATTTCAATTAGTTAAAAATTAATTTATTTTGCAGTATGTACTCTCCAAATTAGAATTGCTGAAGATTTTCACTAATTCTTATAGTAAAATTTTACTGAATATTTAAAACTATGATTTTAAATATTTTAATAATTAAATAATATTTTAATTTATTTTAAATATTTATGAATTATGAAAATAATTAAATTATTGCGAAGTATTTTATAAAAAAGTTGCAAAAAAATTGTTTTTTTCGGAAAAAATTTATGCAAATTCTATTTTTAATTTAATAATTGAATTCCTGTGAAATTTTTATTATTATAGAAAATAATTGAATAGTCGTGTAGAACTTTGTCAGAATTGTATATGTATATGTTTATATGTTAAATAAACTTACTTACTTACTAATTGAATTCTTTTGGGAAATTTTATTAAAATTAAAATTAAATTCTGACCTCCTCCAAATTATTTTATTATTTATGAAAATAAATAAATCCCTTAAAGAATTTTAAAATTTATAAAAATAATTGAATTACTGCGAAATTTAATTACTGTTAAATTTTAAAACATTTGATTTTTTCGTAAAAATTTATGCAAATTCTATTTTAATTTTTAAATAATTGAATTTCTGTGAAATTTTTATTTTTTTGGAAAATCATTGAATGTTCCTGTAGAATATTATTAAAATCATTGTTTAATAATTGAATTCTTTTGGTAAATTTTATTAAAATATGTAGGAGAATATTAGAAAATCATTGAATTAAGAAAATTTTTTGAAAATAATTGAAATTTTAACATAAATTTTATTAAAATGTTTGAAAATAATTGAATTATTATCAAGAATTTTATTACAATTATTAAAAATAATTGAATTCTTGCCAAGAATTTTATAACAAATTTTTTTTTTAATAATCGAGTTTTTTTTGAAGCATTTTCTATAAAAAATTGAGAAAATAATTTATTTCTTCCGAAGAATTTAATTACAATTGTAATGGAAAATAATGGAATTTCTGTGAAAAATTATATTATTTGTGAATATAATTGAATTTTTGTAAAGAATTTTATTAAAAATTTTTAAAACAATTTATTGAATTCCTGTCAAGAATTTTATCAAAATTTAAAAAAAAGTAATTCAATTCTTTAGAGGTATTTTATTAAAATTTTTAAAGAATAATTTAATTCTTTGAGAAATTTTATTAAAATTTTTAATATTAAAAATAATTGAAATTCTGCAACGAGTTTTATTATTTATAAAAATAACTAAATTATTGTGAATCATTTTATAAAAAAGTTGCAAACAATTGTTTTCTTTTAGAGAAAATTTATGCAAGTTCTATTTTCAATAATTGATTTCCTGTGAAATTTAT